AGAGTTCCTGATGTAGGTGGTGAGTGTGAGAGTTCCTGATGTGGGCGGTGCGTAGAAGTGTTCCTGATGTAGGTGGTGAGTGTGAGAGTTCCTGATGTGGGCGGTGAGTGGAAGAGTTAATGATGTGGGTGGTGAGTGTGAGAGGAAAGAGTTCCTGATGTGGGTGGTGAGTGGAAAAGTTCCTGATGTGGGTGGTGAGTGTGAGTGGAAGAGTTCCTGATGTGGGTGGTAAGTGGAAGAGTTCCTGATGTGGGTGGTGAGTGTGAGAGTTCCTGATGTGGGTGGTGAGTGTGAGAGTTCCTGATGTGGGTGGTGAGTGGAAGAGTTCCTGATGTGGGTGGTGAGTGGAAGAGTTCCTGATGAAGGTGGTGAGAGGAAGAGTTCCTGATGTGGGTGGTGAGTGGAAGAGTTTCTGATGTGAGCTGTGAGTGAGAGAGTTCCTGATGTGGGTGGTGAGTGAGAGAGTTCCTGATGTAGGTGGTGAGAGGAAGAGTTCCTGATGTGGGCGGTGAGTGTAAGAGTTCCTGATGTGGGTGGTGAGTGTGAGAGTTCCTGATGTGGGTGGTGAGTGTGAGAGTTCCTGATGTGGGTGGTGAGTGTGAGAGTTCCTGATGTGGGTGGTGAGTGGAAGAGTTCCTGATGTGGGTGGTGAGTGGAAGAGTTCCTGATGTGGGTGGTGAGTGGAAGAGTCCCTGATGTGGGTGGTGAGTGTGGGAGTTCCTGATGTGGGCGGTGAGTGGAAGAGTTCCTGATGTGGGCGGTGAGTGGAAGAGTTCCTGATGTAGGTGGTGAGAGGAAGAGTTCCTGATGTGGGTGGTGAGTGGAAGAGTTAATGATGTGGGTGGTGAGTGGAAGAGTTCCTGATGTGGGTGGTGAGTGGAAGAGTTCCTGATGTGGTTGGTGAGTGGAAGAGTTCCTGATGTGGGTGGTGAGTGAGAGAGTTCCTGATGTGGGTGGTGAGTGTGAGAGTTCCTGATGTGGGTGGTGAGTGTGAGAGTTCCTGATGTGGGTGGTGAGTGTGAGAGTTCCTGATGTGGGTGGTGAGTGTGAGAGTTCCTGATGTGGGCGGTGAGTGTGAGAGTTCCTGATGTGGGCGGTGAGTGGAAGAGTTCCTGATGTGGGTGGTGAGTGGAAGAGTTCCTGATGTAGGTGGTGAGCGTGAGAGTTCCTGATGTGGGTGGTGAGTGTGAGAGTTCCTGGTGTAGGTGGTGAGTGTGAGAGTTCCTGATGTGGGTGGTGAGTGGAAGAGTTCCTGATGTGGGTAGAGAGTGGAAGAGTTCCTGATGTGGGCAGAGAGTGGGAGAGTTCCTGATGTGGGTGGTGAGTGTGAGAGTTCCTGATGTGGGTGGTGAGTGTGAGAGTTCCTGATGTGGGTGGTGAGTGTGAGAGTTCCTGATGTAGGTGGTGAGTGGAAGAGTTCCTGATGTGGGTAGAGAGTGTGAGAGTTCCTGATGTGGGTAGAGAGTGTGAGAGTTCCTGATGTGGGCGGTGAGTGTGAGTGAAAGAGTTCCTGATGTGGGCGGTGAGTGTGAGAGTTCCTGATGTGGGTGGTGAGTGTGAGAGGAAGAGTTCCTGATGTGGGTGGTGAGTGGAAAAGTTCCTGATGTGGGTGGTGAGTTTGAGTGGAAGAGTTCCTGATGTGGGTGGTGAGTGGAAGAGTTCCTGATGTGGGTGGTGAGTGTGAGAGTTCCTGATGTGGGTGGTGAGTGTGAGTGGAAGAGTTCCTGATGTGGGTGGTGAGTGTGAGAGTTCACGATGTGGGTGGTGAGTTAGAGAGTTCCTGACGTGGGTGGTGAGTGTGAGAGTTCCTGATGTGGGTGGTGAGTGTGAGAGTTCCTGATGTGGGCGGTGAGTGTGAGAGTTCCTGCTGTAAGCGGTGAGTGGAAGAGTTCCTGATGTGGGCGGTGAGTGTGAGTGGAAGAGTTCCTGATGTGGGCGGTGAGTGGAAGAGTTCCTGATGTGGGCGGTGAGTGGAAGAGTTCCTGATGTGGGCGGTGAGTGGAAGAGTTCCTGATGTTGGCGGTGAGTGTGAGTGGAAGAGTTCCTGATGTGGGTGGTGAGTGAGAGATTTCCTGATGTAGGTGGTGAGTGTGAGAGTTCCTGATGTGGGCGGTGAGTAGAAGTGTTCCTGATGTAGGTGGTGAGTGTGAGAGTTCCTGATGTGGGCGGTGAGTGGAAGAGTTAATGATGTGGGTGGTGAGTGTGAGAGGAAGAGTTCCTGATGTGGGTGGTGAGTGGAAGAGTTAATGATGTGGGTGGTGAGTGTGAGTGAAAGAGTTCCTGATGTGGGCGGTGAGTGGGAGTCGAACAGTTCCTGATGTGGGAAGTTTATAAAGCTGAGGGATGAAGCTGTATCCATGGCAACCCAAGGTGGTTTAGGATTGAGGTTGGTAGCTGGGGAATAGCGTGGGTATATTCAACACCTGACCTGACTGCAGCCCCCCAGTTGTGCTACAGGAGAATACATTTACATCCTTTGGTGTCTTTCTTGCCGGACAGAGGCGAGTGAGCCGACTGCTGGCCCAGGGCACGGCGACCGGCTGGGCTCTGCTTATATTTGCCTATCATGCGCAATAATTCATAGAACACCTGGAGAAGTCAACATCACAGCATCACAGTCATGGAACAATCTTACTCATGTCTCTCTCTCTCTATGCATGCCAAGACAACACTCAGAATTGTCTCTCTCAACCATGAGACAAGACATCAAAGAATGGTAGAATCACAGTCAATTTGACGCACGAGACAAGACAACATCAAAGAATGATAGAACCACAGTCAGCCTGACCATGTCCGGCTGTATATATTCAGTCCTGACAACTGAATCATGGCACATTTTCGAGGAGTCCCCTTGAAAATAGGTTACATCAAGCGTTTCCATGTTGCATTTTGTGACATTATAATATGCTTACAAACTTCTGTGTTTTGATTGTATTCGTATTACAAATCGACAAGCGGATAATATAAAGTGGACATACAAGCTGTTAGATTTACAGCAATTTTAATTGTAATTCACGGGAGACAGTCGTGTTGTGATGTGTCTGCCAGTGTCACTGTTTCTAGTCAGTAGTTCGGATTTTTGGGAACTGGCTGTTTATTACTTTTCTACTTTAAATGTAGAAATCTTACTTTTAGGGAAAATACAAACAGGTAATTTAGAAGCCATATCTGGAGAATATCGACAGTTGTCAGGTGCAAACTATCTTGTGTTTGAAGAAAACTATTGCTTTCATATTGACTGTGCATAAATGGTGCAACCACACTGTGGATAAATTGTGTCAAGATATTTCGGAGCTCTAGGTAAATGGATGAAAATAATATTTAATTTACTGACTAAATTTACTAACTAACCTCTCACAGCAAGTCACTCTTTGCCTCTTTACTAAGCTGTAAACTCTTGCGGAAACTTCTGGTAGTTCATCCCCTTCTTTTGCATATTTGCAGTTGTACGGTCTGTGTTTATTTTTGTAAACTGGCTTTTGCTTTGCTTCGCAAACACTGGCTGTAAACTTTTGCGGAAACTTCTGGTAGTTCATCCACTTCTTTTGCATATTTGCAGTTGTAGGGTCTGTGTTAATTTTTGTAAACTGGCTTTTGTTTTGCTTTGCGGACACTGGCTGTAAACTCTTGTGGAAACTTCTGGTAGTTCATCCACTTCTTTTGTATATTTGCAGTTGTACGGTCTGTGTTTATTTTTGTAAACTGGCTTTTGCTTTGCTTCGCAAACACTGGCTGTAAACTCTTGCGGAAACTTCTGGTAGTTCATCCACTTCTTTTGCATATTTGCAGTTGTACGGTCTGTGTTAATTTGTGTAAACTGGCTTTTGTTTTGCTTCGCGGACACTGGCTGTAAACTCTTGCAGAAACTTCTGGTAGTTCATCCACTTCTTTTGCATATTTGCAGTTGTACGGTCTGTGTTAATTTTTGTAAACTGGCTTTTGCTTTGCTTCACGAACACTGGCTGTAAACTCTTGCGGAAACTTCTGGTTGTTTATCCACTTCCTATGCATATTTGTTACCAACAAATTCGCAATGATAAGGAATTGATTTCATCCAACAAGATGAAACTGGACAAATTTGTTTGTGCTGTTTGTACCTTGAGGATACATATTTAGTAGATCTAGAAGTACTGTTAAGAAAACTACTCTGGGTGAAAAAAAGTATTGCACATATCAATTTCATACTGATTGTGCTTGTTTACTAATTATTAAATAACAGTATAATTATATGTTGTAGTAGTCTACTAATAATAATAACAACCATCAATCTTTTATATTTATAATATGTATGACATGTGTATGTTTCATAGCAGTATTTTTATGCTCTTAATTTGATAAAGTACAAATGTCACCCCCCCCCCCCCCTCAGATGCAACAATACCCTCTCAGAATCAAAAAGTTAGCACTGATATTTCTTTACTTTTGCTGGAACACCTTTTAGTTTACATCTAAAGGTTACTGATGTTTATGTTCATGCTGACTGTAGCAAAAGCATTTTTATTTGTCTGTAAGAGCCTTTATTGTTATATTTAATTAGCACACTTATTTATCTTAAAAATGACGTATAGTTAAAAAAAATATGTCGAAAATTAATGAAACTGTAGTTCAATTTGTTTCTAAATCTCCTCGATAAAAACTGTGGACGCAGAGGGACTCAATTCTTGCACAAGAACGGGAATTTCCATTTGAGCTGTAAGGCCTTATAAATCTGGAGCTGACACATGAGACAAGACAACATCAAAGAATGATAGAATCACAGTCAGTCTGACACATGAGACAAAACAACATCAAAGAATGATCGAATCAATCACAGTCAGTCTGACATGAGACAAGACAACATCAAAGAATGGTAGAACCACAGTCTGTCTGACACACGAGACAAGACAACATCAAAGAATGGCTATATACAAATACAAATATTGAACGTAAAGTGTCTCAGGCACATTCTAAGTCATGTACACCCTAAGGGTGGCTAATACATCTGCAATCATAGAGTGCAATCAACAGACAAACACATACAAAGGAAGTGCAATCAACAGACAAACACATACAAAGGAAGCTAACAAGAAAGTACTTACTTTATCCACATTGGCCCTGGTTTTGGCAGAGGTCTCTACATAGTTGACTTTCCATTCTTGAGCTCGCTTGGTTGCCTCTTCCACGCTGACCTGCCTCTGTTCTGCTAAATCCACCATGTTTCCCACCAGCAAAAATGGAATGTTCTCATCATTTTTCACTCGCAGAATCTGTTCCCTTCAAGTTGTATCACACCAGAACAGATAAAACAGATATCAGAACCGACACCCCCTCCAAACACACACACAGATACACACAAACACAAACACAGACACACACACAGACACACAGATACACACACATTTGGGTGTAGACAAAACACTGACTGTGTGACAAACACTTGGGTGTAGACAAAACACCGACTGTGTAATAAACACTTGGGTGTAGACAAAACACTAACAGTGTGACAAACACTTGGGTGTAGACAAAACACTAACAGTGTGACAAACACTTGGGTGTAGACAAAACACTGACAGTGTGACAAACACTTGGGTGTAGACAAAACACTGTCAGTGTGACAAACACTTGGGTGTAGACAAAACACTGACAGTGTGACAAACACTTGGGTGTAGACAAAACACTGACAGTGTGACAAACACTTGGGTGTAGACAAAACACTGACTGTGTGACAAACACTTGGGTGTAGACAAAACACTGACAGTGTGACAAACACTTGGGTGTAGACAAAACACTGACAGTGTGACAAACACTTGGGTGTAGACAAAACACTGACAGTGTGACAAACACTTGGGTGTAGACAAAACACTGACAGTGTGACAAACACTTGGGTGTAGACAAAGCACTGACAGTGTGACAAATATTTTGTGTGTGTGTGTCTGTGTGTGTACATATATATGGCTCGCGATCAGGTTGGTAATTATAACCTTGGCCCATGGGGACACATATATAAAAAATATGCTGCCCACTTTTAGTGTAGACATAACACTGACAATGAAACAAGTCAATACATGATATTTAAAAAGCGTGATGCAGGAACAATAAATGGAAACAATAAAACAAAAACAAGTTGGCAATAAAAGGACAAACCTGAAATCTTGTGTTGCTTGAAATGACTCCTGTTCTTTGATGGAGAATACACATAAGAAGCCCTCCCCACTGCGGAAATAATTGTCCCGAATGGCTGCATAGTCTTCCTGTCCGGCAGTGTCTAGAATATCTATCTGTACTTCCTCTCCATCCAGGACAACTTTCTTACGGTATGAGTCTGCTTTTGTTGGTTCATAATCTTCCACAAACTGGGAATATATACCAAAAACACAAATGTCAACAACAGCACCCAGAAAATACACCTGTCAACAACAGCAGATAGAACATACACCTGTCAACAACAGCAGACAGAACATACACCTGTCAACAACAGCAGACAGAACATACAACTGTCAACAACAGCATCCAGAACATACACCTGTCAACAACAGCATCCAGAACATACACCTGTCAACAACAGTAGCAAGAACATACACCTGTCAACAACAGCAGATAGAACATACACCTGTCAACAACAGCAGGCAGAACATACACCTGTCAACAACAGCAGGCAGAACATACACCTGTCAACAACAGCAGGCAGAACATACACCTGTCAACAACAGCAGACAGAACATACACCTGTCAACAACAGCAGCAAGAAAATACACCTGTCAACAACAGCAGACAGAACATACACCTGTCAACAACAGCAGACAAAACAACAGTAGCAAGAACATACACCTGTCAACAACACCAAAAACTCTCCTGTCAACAACAGCATCAAGAATTCAAATGACAACAGCCCGAAGAACACACATGTCAATAACCGCACCAAGAACAAACATGTCAACAACAGCACCTAGAACTCACATGTCAATAACAGCACCAAGAACAAACATGTCAATAACAGCACCAAGAACTCACATGTCAACAACAGCACCAAGAACTCACATGTCAATAACAGCACCAAGAACTCACACATCAACAACAGCACCAAGAACTCACACATCAACAACAGCACCAAAAACTCACACGTCAACAACAGCACCAAAAACACACATGTCAACAACAGCACCAAGAATTCACATGTCAACAAGAAGAGCATTAACAATGGCACTAAATAAATAAGGACCACTTGGCCACCAACAATACATACCTCATCATACATGAACTGAAGAGTCAATGCAGATTTGCCAACACCACCACTACCCACCATTATAACCTTGTGAATGACGGCCGGTTGCTGCGTTTTGGCTTTTGACATGCTCACAGGTTTGTCAACAACAACTGAAATGAGGTCAAGAGATCACATCAACTGCCGGCCATCTACAACTCACAAACTCTCTCATCATACAACAATACTGGGTCACGCCTTTATTGCGGCACTAAACACCACAGGCTCCAGTTTCAGCAATTCCTGCAACAGTTATCAGCGACCAGAATACTCAAAGAATGGAACAGCAAAAGAGGTTCACAAACAATAATAACTAGATTTGTTCCTGCGATTCCAATGCTGCACAGGATTGGCACATTTGCAGGGAATTATGTTTTCAACTTTACCATAACAGACACATTGTGGTGAGTAACCGCACCTTTCTGGACACTTTGTGATGAGAATCGGCAACTTTTTCCTATAAGAAAAGCCCTGGATAAAATGCTGATCCACCTTCTTGGTGCTGTTACTTTTTTTTACTGACTACAATTCATGGCTTCAAGCTTTCTTAGTTTGATTAAGAAATTACATGGACATTCATAATTTATTTCATATGCAGTGTCTTTAGGCCATACGGTCAAGTTATCCATTTCTAGTACAAGAAATCATGATGTATCACAGGTATAGAATTTCAGTCAAAAGAATAACAAAAAATTTATTGAGGTGTCATGTGCAAACTGTATTGAAGAAGTAGTAGCAGGTCTCAGTCCAATGAGATGATGAGCGGGACAGAAAACAGCACACAGACAGAGGTAAAGAAGTAGTGGCAGGTCTCAGTCCAATGAGATGATGAGCGGGACAGAAAACAGCACACAGACAGAGGTGAAGAAGTAGTAGCAGGTCTCAGTCCAATGAGATGATGAGCGGGACAGAAAACAGCACACAGACAGAGGTGAAGAAGTAGTAGCAGGTTTCAGTCCAATGAGATGATGAGCGGGACAGAAAACAGCACACAGACAGGGGTGAAGAAGGAGTAGCAGGTCTCAGTCCAATGAGATGATGAGCGGGACAGAAAACAGCACACAGACAGAGGTGAAGAAGTAGTAGCAGGTCTCAGTCCAATGAGATGATGAGCGGGACAGAAAACAGCACACAGACAGGGGTGAAGAAGGAGTAGCAGGTCTCAGTCCAATGAGATGATGAGCGGGACAGAAAACAGCACACAGACAGAGGTGAAGAAGTAGTAGCAGGTCTCAGTCCAATGAGATGATGAGCGGGACAGAAAACAGCACACAGACAGAGGTGAAGAAGTAGTAGCAGGTCTCAGTCCAATGAGATGATGAGCGGGACAGAAAACAGCACACAGACAGAGGTGAAGAAGCAGTAGCAGGTCTCAGTCCAATGAGATGATGAGCGGGACAGAAAACAGCACACAGACAGAGGTGAAGAAGCAGTAGCGGGTTCAGTCCAATGAGATGATGAGCGGGACAGAAAACAGCACACAGACAGAGGTGAAGAAGCAGTAGCGGGTTCAGTCCAATGAGATGATGAGTGGGACAGAAAACAGCACACAGACAGAGGTGAAGAAGTAGTAGCAGGTCTCAGTCCAATGAGATGATGAGCGGGACAGAAAACAGCACACAGACAGAGGTGAAGAAGCAGTAGCGGGCTCAGTGCACCGAGATGATGAGCGTGACAGAAAACAGCACACAGACAGAGGTGAAGAAGGAGTAGCGGGTTCAGTGCACCGAGATGATGAGCAGGACAAAGAAAAAGATAGAAACTGACAATGAAGAAACTGAATTTTAAAAATTCAAGAGCAGAAAGAGCTGCAGAACACATTCTAATGGAACTAACCCACACACACACACAAAAAGTTTTCATAACAACAAAAAGACAATGCAAGAAAATGATGACAAAACAGAAGATAAGCGACAAGAACTTGATAAACAGTGGGAAAAGATCAAGCTTAAGAACAGTCACAATAAGATGCAGCAGCTGAAACAGAATCAATCATAAGAAAACAAAACAGTGCTGCCAGTCCAGAAGATACCTCCCATAGATGCTAATCAGTGCTAAATAGTCAAAGACCCAAGCGCTTCAGACGAGGCCAACACAGTCTTTACCAGAACCAGCCATCTGCAAAGCTATATCAGCAAGACACCTACACACACACACACCTACACACACACACACAAAGATGCAACTGGAGGATACTTCTCAGCAACAGATGTCAAGACCACAACTCAGACACACAAACCCAAGACCAAACTGTATGGATACAAGACAATACAGCAGATGCAACACACATCATCAAACCTTCAATAAAACCAGTGAGGCAGAAACCTCATCAAACCTTCAATAAAACCAGTGAGGCAGAAACCTCATCAAACCTTCAATAAAACCAGTGAGGCAGAAACCTCATCAAACCTTCAATAAAACCAGTGAGGCAGAAACCTCATCAAACCTTCAATAAAACCAGTGAGGCAGAAACCTCATCAAACACCCTAATTATAACATGACCATTTTAGGCTGAACTGGGTCATCAATAAGAGAAAGAAACAATTGGTGATACTGAAACAAGATTTCTGTCAGTGTCTGACACTGTGTTCTCACCTAGTCAGGTGTGAACCTGGTCTATCACTACATTGTGTCACTTCAGTCAGGTGTCAGCCTGGTCTATCACTGCACTGTGATATCTCAGTCAGGTGTGAACCTGGTCTGTCACTGCACTGTGTCACCTCAGTCAGGTGTGAGCCTGGCCTATCAATGTGTTACCTTAGGTGTGAACCTGATCTATCACTATGTCATCTCAGTCAGGTGTGAACCTGATCTATCATTTTGTCATCTCAGTCAGGTGTGAACCTGGTCTATCACTGCACTGTGTCACCTCAGTCGAGTGTGAAGATAGTTTATCACTGTGTCACCTCAGCCAGGTGTGTATGTGGTCTATCAATGTGTCAGCTCAGTCAGCTATGAACCTGGTCTATCACTGTGTCAACTTTATCAGATGTGAACCTAGTCTATCACTGTATCTACTCAGTTTGGTGTGAACCTGGTCTATCACTGTATCTACTCAGTCTGGTGTGAACCTGGTCTATCACTGTATCTACTCAGTCTGGTGTGAACCTGGTCTATCACTGTGTAAACTCAGCTATGAACCTGGTCTATCACTGTGTAAACTCAGCTATGAACCTGGTCTATCACTGTATCTACTCAGTCTGGTGTGAACCTGGTCTATCACTGTATCTACTCAGTCTGGTGTGAACCTGGTCTCTCATAGTGTCAGCTCAGTTAGGTGTCAACGTGATCCAACACTTCACTCTGTCAACTCAGTCAGGTGTGAACCTGGTCTATCACTGTGTAAACTCAGGTGTGAACCTGGTCTATCACTGTGTAAACTCAGGTGTGAACCTGGTCTATCACTGTGTAAACTCAGTTGTGAACCTGGTCCATCACTGTGTAAACTCAGGTGTGAACCTGGTCCATCACTGTGTAAACTCAGGTGTGAACCTGGTCCATCACTGTGTAAACTCAGGTGTGAGTCTAGTCTATCATTGTAAACTCAGGTGTAAACCTGGTCCATCACTGTGTAAACTCAGGTGTGAACCTGGTCTATCGCTGTGTAAACTCAGGTGTGAACCTGGTCCATCACTGTGTAAACTCAGGTGTGAACCTGGTCTATCACTGTGTAAACTCAGGTGTAAACCTGGTCCATCACTGTGTAAACTCAGGTGTGAACCTGGTCTATCGCTGTGTAAACTCAGGTGTGAACCTGGTCCATCACTGTGTAAACTCAGGTGTGAGCCTGGTCTACCACTGTGTAAACTCAGGTGTGAACCTGGTCCATCACTGTGTAAACTCAGGTGTAAACCTGGTCTATTGCTGTGTAAACTCAGGTGTGAGCCTGGTCTACCACTGTGTAAACTCAGGTGTGAACCTGGTCCATCACTGTGTAAACTCAAGTGTGAGCCTGGTCTATCACTGTGTAAACTCAGGTGTGAACCTGGTCTACCACTGTGTAAACTCAGGTGTGAACCTGGTCCATCACTGTGTAAACTCAGGTGTGAGCCTGGTCTATCGCTGTGTTAACTCAGGTGTGGGCCTGGTCCATCACTGTGTAAACTCAAGTGTGAGCCTGGTCTATCACTGTGTAAACTTAGGTGTGAGCCTGGTCTATCACTGTGTAAACTCAAGTATGAACCTGGTCTATCACTGTGTTAACTCAGGTGTGAGCCTGGTTTATCACTGTGTAAACTCAGGTGTGAGCCTGGTCTATCACTGTGTAAACTCAGGTGTGAGCCTGGTCTATCACTGTGTAAACTCAGGTGTGAGCCTGGTCTATCACTGTGTAAACTAAACTCAGGTGTGAGCCTGGTCTATCAATGTTTCTCTTCAGTCAAGTGTGAGAGAAAAAGGATGCTTACCACAAACCAGAATGATGAATGGAAACTGACATGAAGAAGGTATATCCCACAGCAATGCGAAGAATCAAAGCTGTTAAATAAAACAGCGGAGCGAAAGAGACATTTAAAGTCTTTATCTGTAGAAAAGATTAGATACACACAGGAAGTGAGTCAACGGAATTGAAATCCCTACTATGGTGTGTCACTGTGTTTAGAATCAGTCATTTTAACTGATAAACAACTATGTCTATAGCCTACACACTCAAACGTTATATCTGGACGATTTGATTACGAACTTGATGTTCTCCAGTGGCTGAGACTATCGCGAGCGAGTGGCGCTAATCGAGTTAACACCCAAACACGGTGAGAGATGGACGAGCAAGGTGGGCTGGGCTAGTGTTTCCGTGTTCATTTCTTTCTGTCGAATCAATCACACACAGCGGCTAGCCTCCCGATAGCTGAACACCACAGCGTAAAAATACAAAACATGACTGGAATACAGGTTCATGGCGTGTACATCCCAGCGAGGAGGCATGAGGACTTACTGTATGAGAGAGAAAGAAACTGTCACAGAGGAAACATCGGCGGCCACGGATCGTCTGCTCGGGCCCCAACCTGGAAATGGCGGCCGGGGCCCGGGGTCTGCTGGGATCGGGTGACGTCACTGTGACCCCGCGCCCTGACCCCGGCTGGGGAAGTCGTCTTTACAATGCTGGCGATGCCGATTATCGCCTAACTCTGGGGGTCTTTTCCCCGCACAGAAATGGATATTTGGCCGTTTTCTAGGCTATACACTTAGCCGTTCATGTGAGACTTGTACAGAGATTACCAGAAACAATGCCATTGCTTAGCCGTGCCGGGGCGAGTTTGGAGAGAGGAGCGTCGTTTGACGGGCGAGGATTGTTGTAGTGCGCACACAATCCAAGATGGCAGCCCAGACGGGGGGAGCCTGTGTTTGTTTGGATCACCAGTTATCGCACGGTAATCTCTTCTTCCTAACCTAACTGTCTTCATCTTCCACTCAGCACATAGAAATGCTTCTCTGGACACCGTAGCTAGACAGTGTCGTGTCACACCTGCCCTAAGATAGCGACGTGCGATAGAAACTTCTAGAAATTTATGAAGACATTTAGTTAGATGTTTTTGTGTGTGTAAGTGTAGGCGTAGGATCAGTAGAAGTTAAACAATTAAGGTAAATGATTAGTTACACTTTATTATATTATGTAATCACCATATCGCTGCCAAACTGCACAGTACAGCAATGCGTGTTATTCAGTCATAGTTGTTTCATGGTGACAGCATGAGTTGCTGATTCTAAGAAAATGTTTGCTGATGATCTGTTTTGTGTAGACTAGAGGTTGATTGGATGTGTGGCTCCTGGATGATGATCTGTTTTGTGTAGACTAGGGGTTGATTGGATGTGTGGCTCCTGGAGGATGATCTGCTTTGTGTAGACTAGGGGTTGATTAGATGTGTGGCTCCTGGATGATGATCTGCTTTGTGTAGACTAGAGGTTGATTGGATGTGGCTCCTGGAGGATCTGCTTTGTGTAGACTAGAGGTTGATTGGATGTGGCTCCTGGAGGATCTGCTTTGTGTAGACTAGAGGTTGATTGGATGTGGCTCCTGGAGGATCTGCTTTGTGTAGACTAGAGGTTGGTTGGATGTGGCTCCTGGATGATCTGTTTTGAGTTTCTTGTAATGTCTTTTTGTGCTGTAGCAATGTAGCCACTATCAGTTTGAATAAAATATAATGTTGATGTTTCTTCTTCACCTGTTTACAGTGTAACATTCCAACACACCTGGGTTGTTTGTAGTTTTTTTTTGAATTGATAATATATTTATATATATATAAATAAATAAATAAATAATATTATAATTCTATAGGTATAAATTGTTTAATAGCTGCCTGTAACTAGTTGCATGATGGAGAATGGTCATGTTGTGTAGTAACTGTTGTTGTTTGTTTAGTCACTGTTACAGTGGTCTAGTGTTGTTTGTTTGGTCACTGTTACAGTGGTCTAGTGTTGTTTGTTTGGTCACTGTTACAGTGGTCTAGTGTTGTTTGTTTGGTCACTGTTACAGTGGTCTAGTGTTGTTTGTTTGGTCACTGTTACAGTGGTCTAGTGTTGTTTGTTTGGTCACTGTTACAGTGGTCTAGTGTTGTTTGTTTGGTCACTGTTACAGTGGCCTAGTGTTGTTTTGTTTGGTCACTGTTACAGTGGTCTAGTGTTGTTTGTTTGGTCACTGTTACAGTGGTCTAGTGTTGTTTGTTTGGTCACTGTTACAGTGGTCTAGTGTTGTTTGTTTGGTCACTGTTACAGTGGTCTAGTGTTGTTTGTTTGGTCACTGTTACAGTGGTCTAGTGTTGTTTGTTTGGTCACTGTTACAGTGGTCTAGTGTTGTTTGTTTGGTCACTGTTACAGTGGTCTAGTGTTGTTTGTTTGGTCACTGTTACAGTGGTCTAGTGTTGTTTGTTTGTTTGGTCACTGTTACAGTGGTCTAGTGTTGTTTGTTTGGTCACTGTTACAGTGGTCTAGTGTTGTTTGTTTGGTCACTGTTACAGTGGTCTAGTGTTGTTTGTTTGGTCACTGTTACAGTGGTCTAGTGTTGTTTGTTTGGTCACTGTTACAGTGGTCTAGTGTTGTTTTGTTTGGTCACTGTTACAGTGGTCTAGTGTTGTTTGTTTGGTCACTGTTACAGTGGTCTAGTGTTGTTTGTTTTGGTCACTGTTACAGTGGTCTAGTGTTGTTTGTTTGGTCACTGTTACAGTGGTCTAGTGTTGTTTGTTTGGTCACTGTTACAGTGGTCTAGTGTTGTTTGTTTGGTCACTGTTACAGTGGTCTAGTCTGTGCTTAAAGTCATTGATCGATTGAGCTTTTTCTGACCTCAGTTTGTCTAAGAAAAGATGTGGTTTGGTTGTGACATGATTAGGTGTGGCTATGACAAGATATTTGGCTGTGACAAGGTGTGGTTTTGTTGCGACAAGATGAAGATGTGTTGTTGTGACAAATGATATGTGGCTTAGTTGTGACAAGATTAAATGTGGTTTGGTTGAGATGTGATTTGACTTTGATTGGGACACGACGAGATGTGATTTGGTTGTGACAAGCTGAGATATAGTCATCACTGATTGTGATTTATGCGTGTGTACGCCTAAAATTATATACATCACTGGTAAACAGCGTATGTTTCAGCAGTCATAACACCTGAACGTAGAGAATGCTAGTTATGACTCCTATTTCAGTCTTTGAGGCGACATGGACCTGCATCACTATGCTTTATTCTCAGGTCATGCAGTCATGTTAGTGTAAGAGATTCTTCATTATCAACTAGCCTAGTCAGCTCAGCATTGCTAATATCTGCTGTGTCCATGTTTCTTCCTGTGGGCTTTGGTGCCTGGCATGCCAGTAGGTCAGGTTTATCATTACCTTTGGTGCTGGCTTACTAGTAGGTCAGCTCGCTCATTACCTTTGCTGACTGGCTTGCCAGTAGGTCAGCTTGTTCATTACCTTTGATGACTGACTAGAGGGGGTGTGGTCTCAAGGCATGGTGTCCATCTCTAGTGCTAGAGGTTCCGGGTTCAATGCCCGGTAAGGGCTGGTATTTTTTTTTTACATGGACTTGGACTTCTAGTAATTCCTCGGTCTCTGGGTAGTGAGATCAGACGCCCATGTGCATTGTTGTACACGTAAAAAAATCCCTTGGCAGTTGGAAATCGAAAAAGAGTAGCCTAACAGCACTGCCCAGGCAAAATTTGGAGTTAAAAATCTACCCAAAGTATTTTAAGATCCTTGGGGGTGCTACAGAGCATGTGCACTGTGCTGAGCTTCTTTGAACTCAGACTTGAGTTAGAAGAATGGAGCACTTATGGGTTCCATGTGCCATGATGTTAATCCGTTTTCCAAACCTCAAACCTTTGGTGACTAGCATGCCAGTAGGTCAGCTTGCTCATGACCTTTGATCCTAGCACGCCAGTAGGTCAGCTTGCTCATGACCTTTGATCCTAGCATGCCAGTAGGTCAGCTTGCTCATGACCTTTGATCCTAGCATACCAGTAGGTCAGCTTGCTCATGACTTTTGATCCTAGCATGCCAGTAGGTCAGCTTGCTCATGACCTTTGATCCTAGCATGCCAGTAGGTCAGCTTGCTCATGACCTTTGATCCTAGCATGCCAGTAGGTCAGCTTGCTCATGACCTTTGATCCTAGCATGCCAGTAGGTTAGCTTGCTCATGACCTTTGATCCTAGCATGCCAGTAGGTCAGCTTGCTCATGACCTTTGATCCTAGCATGCCAGTAGGTCAGCTTGCTCATGACCTTTGATCCTAGCATGCCAGTAGGTCAGCTTGCTCATGACCTTTGATCCTAGCATGCCAGTAGGTTAGCTTGCTCATGACCTTTGATCCTAGCATGCCAGTAGGTCAGCTTGCTCATGACCTTTGATCCTAGCATGCCAGTAGGTCAGCTTGCTCATGACCTTTGATCCTAGCATGCCAGTAGGTCAGCTTGCTCGTGACCTTTGATCCTAGCATGCCAGTAGGTCAGCATGCTCATGACCTTTGATCCTAGCATGCCAGTAGGTCAGCTTGCTCAGGACCTTTGATCCTAGCATGCCAGTAGGTCAGCTTGCTCATGACCTTTGATCCTAGCATGCCCATGTGAGGGAAAGTTAAGTGATGTTTAGATGCTCTCTACCCACTCAAAGTGCCTGTTGCAATTTTCTGTAGCATGTTCATAAAATCTGATACAATTACTGCATTTTTAGCTGTATTCTTTGCCAGTGCTGTCCATAATCATACTTGATGTTGTTTTCCTCATTCTTTGTTTTGTGTATGCCTATGCTGACCTTGACCTGCGCTCCACAGACCCAGGTGTGGATCAGGGTTATTCTACTAAGTTTACTTAGTGGCTAACGTTTAGAAAATGGGGATCGTTACGAGCCAGAAATCTGAGCTGTAGCATAGAAAGATCATTAACACAATACAGCTGGAATTGACTCACAGGCCGCTCGCTAGACCTCCATATATCACATTCGGCCTGCGAGCTGCCAGTTGAATAACAATGGTGTAGATGACAATGCCTTCTGGATGTGACTGTGCTTGTTATGTGTCAAGAAAGGTCTTGCATATCTTCTGTTATATTCATCGATTATTTTCCATGACTGATCTCTTCTACATCACATATCTGTTCAGAGAATGAAAGAAGAAGACAGATCTGTTAAATTTTCAATCTTGACCATCCAGGAAATGGTTCATTTTAGACATATTTGGTTTATGTCATCAGTAGCTTTGTGTTGTGGGTGGTTAACATCTGCTGATATACCCCCATGTGCTTCTTGACCTGTGTAACTTTGTCTCTTGGTAGCCAGAAGGAAGTATCAAACTGAGCTTCAACACAAGGGTGCTGTGCCTCTGGTAGCAGTTGATAATGGGAAGTCTGTCATGTACAGTAATCAATAAGTGTGAATGTGAACTACTGCACACAAGCCATGCAGAAACAAAACAACAACTTGATGTGACATTTGCAAGTTATCAGACAGGTCCGTGTGGTTAGAGTGACATCTGTTGTATTGATTGAACAAGAGCACCAGGGAGATGTTGAGTTGTGTAGTCAGTGCTGCATTCAACAGCAGCAGATTACAGTGTTTCTGGTTGTAGGGTTCAGGCTGCAGTCAACAGCAGCAGATTACAGTGGTTCTGGTTGTAGAGTTCAGGCTGCATTCAACAGCAGCAGATTACAGTGGTTCTGGTTGTAGAGTTCATGTGATAACATATAACAGTGGCTGACTTGTATGTGCTTGATGGGGTAGACATTGTGTTTTAGATGTACACCAGAGTAGGCATTATGCTGTAGATGTACTAGTGTACGGTTTGTGTTGTAGATGTTCTAGTGTACAGTTTGTGTTGTAGATATTCTAGTGTACGGTTTGTGTTGTAGATATTCTAGTGTACAGTTTGTGTTGTAGATGTTCTAGTGTACAGTTTGTGTTGTAGATATTCTAGTGTACAGTTTGTGTTGTAGATGTTCTAGTGTACAGTTTGTGTTGTAGATGTTCTAGTGTACAGTTTGTGTTGTAGATATTCTAGTGTACAGTTTGTGTTGTAGATATTCTAGTGTACAGTTTGTGTTGTAGATGTTCTAGTGTACAGTTTGTGTTGTAGATGTTCTAGTGTACGGTTTGTGTTGTAGATATTCTAGTGTACAGTTTGTGTTGTAGATGTTCTAGTGTACGGTTTGTGTTGTAGATATTCTAGTGTACAGTTTGTGTTGTAGATATTCTAGTGTACGGTTTGTGTTGTAGATGTTCTAGTGTACAGTTTGTGTTGTAGATATTCTAGTGTACGGTTTGTGTTGTAGATATTCTAGTGTACAGTTTGTGTTGTAGATGTTCTAGTGTACAGTTTGTGTTGTAGATGTTCTAGTGTACAGTTTGTGTTGTAGATATTCTAGTGTACGGTTTGTGTTGTAGATGTTCTAGTGTACAGTTTGTGTTGTAGATGTTCTAGTGTACAGTTTGTGTTGTAGATATTCTAGTGTACAGTTTGTGTTGTAGATGTTCTAGTGTACTGTTTGTGTTGTAGATGTTCTAGTGTACGGTTTGTGTTGTAGATGTTCTAGTGTACGGTTTGTGTTGTAGATATTCTAGTGTACGGTTTGTGTTGTAGATGTTCTAGAGTATACAATATGTTGTAGATGTACTAGTATGGGTTGTGTTGTAGATTTTCTAGGGTACCGTTTGTGTTGTAGATGTTCTAGAGTATACAATATGTTGTAGATGTACTAGTATGGGTTGTGTTGTAGATTTTCTAGGGTACCATTTGTGTTGTAGATGTACCAGCATAAACATTGTGTTTCATATGTACTAGTATAGACATTGTGTTGTAAATGCACTTTGGTATGGTTTGTTTTGTAGATTTACTGGTGTATAGTTTTTGTTAAAGATGTACTAGTGTATAGTTTGGATTGTATTGTGCTAGGGTATGGTTTGTGATGTAGATGTACTAGGGTATGGTTTGTGTTGTCGATGTACTAGGGTATGGTTTGTGTTGTAGATGTAGTAGGTTATGGTTTGTGTTGTCGATGTACTAGGGTATGGTTTGTGTTGTCGATGTACTAGGGTATGGTTTGTGTTGTCGATGTACATACAGGTCATGACCAATGAGAGAGTCAGCAAGTCTCCCGAGAATCATCTGATGTTTGTTGGCTTCTTTTTCTCTTCTACGGTCTTAGTCTAAGACAGATTTTCGTCTTTTTATGTGAGTTATGTCCCCCCAATCCCTCACACACCCACAGATCCCACCTGCCCCCCCCCCCCCCCCCCCCCCCCCCCCCCCCCCCCCCCCCCCCCCCCCCCCCCCAGGAATCCTACCTGTCTGGCTTACTCCTCGTCTATTAGGTTCTTCCTGATGACACGCGTTGAGAAATACATGTCACATAAATATTTTCTGTTGCCAGGTGGCGCCACCAAGAAGACCCTAGGAGCCTTAATTGAGAGGCTCCGAAACAGCAAGTCACAGAATCATTCCTGGAATGAGAGCATCAAATATGTCTGGAGTTCAGTGGCTGTAAGTGTTGGTAGCATCAGAGCTGTGTGTGTAGTTCAGTGGCTGTAAGTGTTGGTAGCATCAGAGCTGTGTGTGTAGTTCAGTGGCTGTAAGTGTTGGTAGCATCAAATGTATGTGTGGTGTCAGTGTTGGTAGCATCAAATGTATGTGTGGTGTTCAGTGTTGGTAGCATCAAATGTATGTGTGGTGTCAGTGTTGGTAGCATCAAATGTATGAGGAGTTCAGTGTTGGTGGCATCAAATATGTGTGGTGTCAGTGTTGATAGCATCAAATATGTGTGGTGGCAGTGTTGATAGCATCAAATATGTGTGGTGGCAGTGTTGCTAGCATCAAATGTGTGTGTAGTTCAGTGGTGTCAGTGTTGATAGCATCATATGTGTGTGTGGTGTCAGTGTTGGTAGCATCATATATGTGTGTGGTGTCAGTGTTGCATAGCATCAAATATGTGTGGTGTCAGTGTTGCATAGCATCAAATATGTGTGGTGTCAGTGTTGCATAGCATCAAATATGTGTGGTGTCAGTGTTGCATAGCATCAAATATGTGTGGTGTCAGTGTTGCATAGCATCAAATATGTGTGTAGTTCACTGTTGCATAGCATCAAATATGTGTGGTGTCTGTGTTGCATAGCATCAAATATGTGTGGTGTCAGTGTTGATAGCATCAAATATGTGTGTGTCAGTGTTGATAGCATCAAAAAATGTGTGTGTCAGGGTTGGTAGCATCAAATATGTGTGTGTCAGTGTTGATAGCATTAAATATGTGTGTGTCAGTGTTGATAGCATTAAATATGTGTGTGTCAGTTTTGGTAGCATCAAATATATGTGTGTCAGTGTTGATAGCATAAAATATGTGTGTGTCAGTGTTGAAAGCATCAAAAAATGTGTTTGTCAGTGTTGATAGCATGTTTTCTGCATTCTGGTTTACAAAGTCAGTCATTACATTCTAATAGTAAAAGCATGTCAGCAGGCGGTAAATCAATGCCGCTGACTTTTTTACTTCTGGAGTTTTTGAAAACATATAAGCGGGTGTTACAGTAAGGCACAGACAGATCTAACTTGATTTTTCTTATCTTTAAAAAACAACTGCCTGTGATTTAACTGGCTTTCTAGACTTTGGGAGAAACCATATAACTCTTGAAGTCTTTATTAGAGGCACTAAGGATTCCCGGTGACCGCAAGGGATGTTTCAACATTTGTTTTTGGTGACAAGGGGAAATTACTCAGATATTTGTAATACAAAGAGAATTTACTGCAAAATATATATATGTGCTGATTATAATTGGAACTCCTAGGTAGAGTCACTGTATGATTGTATTGTCATGTTGTTGTGATTATTCTATGATTGTATTGACATATTCTTGTGATTATTCTATGATTGTATTGACATATTCTTGTGATTATTCTATGATTGTATTGACATATACTTGTGATTATTCTATGATTGTATTGACATATTCTTGTGATTATTTTATGATTGTATTGTCATGTTCTTGTGATTATTCTAAACCCACATCATTCCGACAGTGTATTTCTTTGGTCATTTTAAACTCTTCTCCCACTTGGAGAAATGTCTGTCTGTAATCTCTTGTCCATGAAAAATGTCTCACTTTAATATCATAATGTCTGTCCATATTCACTAATATTATTCTGGGCAGTTTCTTATTAGAGTACACACAGTAGCAGATGTTGTCATTTTGGGCTTGTAATGCAGATAAGTCATTGCATATTTTTGTAGATTCATAACAAGGGAGATATTTTGCCAGGTGATACATTTATTTATACACTATTGAGATTTTCTTTTAAAGAGAAAAATGGGGCTGAGAATGTCTTCCAGCGGAGATCCATCAGATGCAGTCTGAAATGTCCACCTGTCAGCTGGGCCTAGAGGTGTTCTCCTTCGGGGAAGATATTGTTGATGTTTCTCTCTCTTTTTTTTTAATGCTCATTTTTTTTTTATCTTCTGGTGCTTATGCTCTTCACAACAGCCATTTCAGGTGATCCAAAAATGACAATATCAGATCACAGGACAGGGTATGTCCAGCCTGGTGGATGTTAGGGGTGTTGTGACCTCTGTTTGATGGTCTCGGGAGAGGGGTGCTAGCTGAGCTACTGAAATAGTTCTGGTGAATCATGCTCAACAGTGAGACCTTGTCTCAGGCACCCCATGAAGAGCCTGTTGTTTGTGATGCCACCTCACAGTGTGTCATCTGCATTGTCGCTTTTGCTGCCTTGTTGATTTGCTGTCAGAACATAGTTCTGTTGATCTGCTATCAAAACATACTTCTTTTGATTTGCTGTCAGAACATACTTCTTTTGATTTGCTGTCAGAACATAGTTCTTTTGATTTGCTGTCAGAACATAGTTCTGTTAATTTGCCAACATGCTTTCCTGTTTATTCTTAAATTTAAGGCTGCGTTTATTTTTGGCCACCCACAGGAACGAAGGGCACAGATAGAGAACACAGAGCCATCGGGTGTGCAGCAGTGTTTGGACACGTTACAGAAGGTCATCACAGGTAAAGAGAGTCACTGTTGGATTGTATAGACATACTGTTGTGATTGTTCAGACATTCACTGTTGGATTGTATAGACATACTGTTGTGATTGTTCAGACATTCACTGTTGTGATTGTTCAGACATTCACTGTTGTGATTGTTCAGACATTCACTGTTGTGATTGTTCAGACATTCACTGTTGTGATTGTTCAGACATTCACTGTTGTGATTGTTCAGACATTCACTGTTGTGATTGTTCAGACATTCACTGTTGTGATTGTTCAGACATTCACTGTTGTGATTGTTCAGACATTCACTGTTGTGATTGTTCAGACATTCGCTGTTGTGATTGTTTAGACATTCACTGTTGTGATTGTTCAGACATTCACTGTTGTGATTGTATAGACATACTGTTGTGATTGTTCAGACATTCACTGTTGGATTGTATAGACATACTGTTGTGATTGTATAGATATACTGTTGTGATTGTATAGACATACTGTTGTGATTGTTCAGACATTCACTGTTGGGTTGTACAGACATACTGTTGTGATTGTTCAAACATTCACTGTTGTGATTGTTCAGACATACTGTTGTGATTGTTAAGATATTCACTGTTGTGAATGTTCAGACATTCACTGTTATGATTGTTCAGACATTCACTGTTGTGATTGTTCAGACATTCACTGTTGTGATTGTTCAGACATTCACTGTTGTGATTGTTCAGACATTCACTGTTGTGATTGTTCAGACATTCACTGTTGTGATTTTTCAGACATTCACTGTTGTGATTGTTCAGACATTCACTGTTGTGATTGTTCAGACATTCACTGTTGTGATTGTTCAGACATTCACTGTTGTGATTGTTCAGACATTCACTGTTGTGATTGTTCAGACATTCACTGTTGGATTGTACAGACATACTGTTGTGATTGTTCAGACATTGACTGTTGCCAAAGCAACATCATTTACACACTTAATTCCACTGGTCTTCTACACAATTTCCCCATTTAAAAAATGTCTGATTATAGTCTCTTTCCTTTGACATGTCTTCCTTGAATCTCTGCCACACCCAGAAATTATCTCACTTGAATCTCTGCCACACCCAGAAATTATCTCACTTGAATCTCTGCCACACCCAGAAATTATCTCTCTTGAATCTCTGCCACACCCAGAAACTATCTCACTTAAATCTCTGCCACACCCAGAAACTATCTCACTTAAATCTCTGCCACACCCAGAAATTATCTCACTTGAATCTTTCTCTGCCACGTCTGGAAATTTAGCTCACTCTGCTATCTTTTTCCACACTTGCAAAATGTCTCTTCCCCACCCACTTTTCACGTGAATCTCTGCTACATCAGAAACTGTATTCTTTCCCCTGACTTGTAAACTATCTCACTTGGCCACACCGGTGAACTGTCTCATTTTTTCTCTGCCACCAAGCAAGTTTAAGATCTGACATACTTGGGAATGTTTTTAATAAAAGGAGGCATTGGCTGTGAAAGTTGTGTGTGTAGCAGATATCCCCCCATTTGTTGTTGTTTCTACCCCAGACATCCCTCTGTTTGTAGTTGTTTGTAGCACAGATATCCACCTGTGTGATTGTTTGTACCACAGATATACCCCTGTTTGTTGTTGTTTGTTCCACAGATATTCACCTGTGTGATTGTTTGTACCACAGATATACCCCTGATTGTTGTTGTTTGTGTCACAGATATATCCCTGTTGTACCACAGATATCCCCCTGTTTGTACCACAGATATCCCTCTGTTTGTACCACAGATTTACCCCCTGTTTGTTCCACAAATATACCCCTGTTTGTACCACATATATACCCCCTGTTTGTACCACAGATTTACCCCTGTTTGTACCACAGATATACCCCCTGTTTGCACCACAGATATCCCTCTGTTTGTACCACAGATATACCCCCTGTTTGTACCACAGATATCCCCCTGTTTGTACTACAGATTTACCCCTGTTTGTACCACAGATATACCCCCTGTTTGCACCACAGATATCCCTCTGTTTGTACCACAGATATACCCTCTGTTTGTACCACAGATATCCCCCTGTTTGTACCACAGATATCCCCCTGTTTGTACCACAGATTTACCCCTGTTTGTACCACAGATATACCCCCTGTTTTTACCACAGATATACCCCCTGTTTTTACCACAGATATACCCCCTTTTTGTACCACAGATTTACCCACGTTTGTACCACAGATTTACCCCTGTTTGTACCACAGATATACCCCCTGTTTGTACCACAGATATACCCCTTTTTTGTACCACAGATTTACCCCCTGTTTGTACCACAGATATCCCCTTGTTTATACCACATATATCTCTCTGTATGTGTCATGTGTGAAAGGTGGATTTCTTTAACGCTGTTGGGTGCCTGGCTCTCATGTTTGTTTTTCTACATTTCTGTATTCTGATCAGATAAACTCACTGCCTACAGACACACATAACAAGAAACATCAACACACATAACAGCATGTATCAACACATGTAACAGCAAACATCAACACACATAACAGCAGACATCAACACACGTAACAGCATGTATCAACACACATAACAGCAGACATCAACACACGTAACAGCAAACGTCAACACACCTATAACAACAAATGTCTGTTACAGACTTTTTTCTTGTTGTCTCCAGTGAAATCCCAGCAGAATCTGAAAGAAAAGTTGGATGTGATCGGCCGACGTTTGGGCCTGAACACCCAGATCCAGGAACAGAAAGTCTCCCTTCGCACAGACGCCTTCCAGGTGGACGTGTTGCTAGGTGACGGGGGACTCATTACAAACGTGCGGTTGGCCAACCAGGGAGATGTGATGGTAAGTTGTCTGTCACTGTACTACCAGTACACAGCAGTGTGATCACATCTGAAAATGGTTTTAATTTCTGTTGGGTCTGCCCACAATGTTCTCCCGAGGAGTTGACTATCTGTGTGTTAAACCATAAGTGTTCTTTATCATTTAACTTTCAGTGTTATAGGGACAAACTATGTATGCACTTGTGTAGTTGTGATTGATACAGGGACATTCTGTGTATCTGGTTGTGAGGGGAGGGCAGATAACACAGAACGCTTCTGTAACCCAGTGTAGAAGAGGACAGATATAAACAAGGCACTTCTGTAACCCAGTGTAGAAGAGGACAGATTAAACAAAGCACTTCTATAACCCAGTATAGAAGAGGACAGATATAAACAAGGCACTTCTATAACCCAGTATAGAAGAGGACAGATTAAACAAGGCACTTTCTATAACCCAGTGTAGAAGAGGACAGATATAAACAAGGCACTTCTATAACCCAGTGTAGAAGAGGACAGATATAAACAAGGCACTTCTATAACCCAGTATAGAAGAGGACAGATTAAACAAGGCACTTCTATAACCCAGTATAGAAGAGGACAGATTAAACAAGGCACTTCTGTAACCCAGTGTAGAAGAGGACAGATATAAACAAGGCACTTCTATAACCCAGTGTAGAAGAGGACAGATATAAACAAGGCACTTCTATAACCCAGTATAGAAGAGGACAGATTAAACAAGGCACTTCTATAACCCAGTATAGAAGAGGACAGATTAAACAAGGCACTTCTGTAACCCAGTGTAGAAGAGGACAGATTAAACAAGGCACTTCTGTAACCCATTGTAGAAGAGGACAGATTAAACAAGGCACTTCTGTAACCCAGTGTAGAAGAGGACAGATTAAACAAGGCACTTCTGTAACCCATTGTAGAAGAGAACAGATTAAACAAGGCACTTCTGTAACCCATTGTAGAAGAGGACAGATTAAACAAGGCACTTCTGTAACCCAGTGTAGAAGAGGACAGATTAAACAAGCCTTAGCGTACATGATTAAGGTAATGGCTGGTCAGTAGAGAATGGTTGACAATGATTGTGGTATGTGCTGTAGTCAGGTTCTGATGCTTCATATGTTCTTTTTGATTGTCTTTCAGGAGTGTCCAAATCTGAAGGAGATTTTACAGTAAGTCCACGCTGGCTGCAAAGGTTTAGTAATTTGTCTATGAGTGTGTTTTTGAGTGTTCAGTATGTGCAAAGTGCTTCACTCAGTGATTGTCGCACAGGTTCATAATACTTAACCCAGTGATTATCACACAGATTCACATTATGTGATTGTTTTTCAGTGTCAGTACCCAGCACACACAGAACAAGCAATAAATGATTGAAAACCAATCACACTTACAGAATGTAATCCATAAATTATTGATATTTAGTGCATAGTGGTTTTTTTTTTTTTTTTTTTTTTTAACCTAGTAGTGATTTGAATACTGTCCTCTTTTACCTAAAGAAGTTGCAGAACGGATACTTCAGGTGGGCTCCACTGAACTGACTTTTCTAGAGTGAGTGGCCTGTTTAATGAATGCTGGTGGCAATTTTTGTCTTCTGCACAAATGTTGGCACCTCAGGTTATAAATATATTACCTACAAATGTTGGCACCTCAGGTTATAAATATATTAACTACAAATAACATTAAAGGAGTTTTTGCTTGAAGCAAAGAGCTGAGATTTTCCAGTAAGTCTCAGTGATGCGTGACTAAGCCCATATATATATATTGTATTTTTAGCCTGGAGAAGTATTCCTTGTAATGCCTCACTTTGTCCGCATTGATTGTTGACTCTGTTTATATATATTTATTTATGACTCCATTTGTGCGTGTTCGAGGAAGGGGGGGGGGGGGGGTTGTATATATACATATATATACGAGTTAAAAAGAAAATGATTATTGACCTGTGTAAAAATGGAGAAGTTTTGCTCACTGAATATCTTGTTCATGAATTTCAATTTATTCATGGCCTCCAAGTTTTCTTGAGCATTCCCGGGATGACTGGATTTAGGCAATGGATAGTTTTGTAGAGCCATTCCAGTGAGAATTAATCTTCACATATGAAGTGTGTGGTTAGTACAAATGTTGATTTGTCACATGGCATTCAAGTTCAAATATTCCATTAAAATATCAGACTGTGATTGTCAGGTAGTTTGCCTGAACAGGGGGAAGTACAGAACAACAGAAATTGAGAGAGAGAGAGAGAGAGAGAGAGAGAGCGAATGAATGGACTCTGAAATCAAGCCTGCAATGTGTAAAGGATGAGACAAAACGTTTGAGCCACTTCACTACAGAGATACCGCCCCCTCATCGACACAGATAAAGTGAGATACTGCAGTGAAAGGTAAACTCTCAGGTCTCTGTGACTAGAAGCAGGTGATTGACATGGTCTGGTCCTAAATCATTGATATGATCACAGTCCTTGGTGTTGTCAATGTGCTGGTCACACAGTAAACTGTCTGGCTGACTACGCATATTTCTTTTGTTTGTTTCCCAGAAAGGGAGATTTTTCGGAATTTATTGAGCATTTACAAGGCCTTCAAAGCATTTATCAAGTGACAACAGATGAGTAAGTGTCCACTGTTTGTTGTTGTTGTGTTGTTGCTCTATTGCCAGAATTGTGCTCCCTGTTATGATTGATTTATTAAACATCAGTTGCCTGTTGGAGTGACTATGTTCTAATGAGTCCTTGGTCAGATTTGACTGGACTATTATTGTACAACACTAGTCGGTACTACATGTTAACGCTGAATGTTTAGCAGCATATGCCTAATCTGACATCCCAAATATGCCAGCAGATTCGGCACTGGAGCACATTAGAGAGGAAAGGGAGTTAGTGTAAAGGAAAAATGATTATTGCAGGTAGTCTTAGAACTGTGCGTCTGAGAAAAAGCACTAAAAATAGATGTAATAGCAACAGCAGCGCCCTGACATGTCAGGCTCTAATTGTGGAAGATTGATCTTCATGTGACGGGTCCTGCTAGTCACACTCGCTGTCGCAATAAAATACTGTCATCTGGAAAGACAGAAAGATGACAACAACAAAAAGTAAAGTTCATTAGTTTGATACTGTTACCTTTATTATACATTGCATTCTTGCATTCTGTTGATTAATCAGTTCATTCATGCATTCTCTTTATTATTCTATTTAGTGCATTTTTATCCCTTTATTATACAGTGCATTTTTGCGTTCTCTTTATTACTCAGTGCATTCTTGCGATCCATTTATTATACAGTGCATTCTTGCCTTCTCTTTATTTTTAGTGAATTCTTGTGTTTCCTTTATTGAACAGTACATTCATGTGTCCCCATGTCATACAGTGCATTCTTGTGCTCCCCATGTCATACAGTACATTCTTGTGCTCCCCATGTCATACAGTACATTCTTGTGCTCCCCATGTCATACAGTCCATTCTTGTGCTCCCCATGTCATACAGTACATTCTTGTGTTCCCCATGTTATACAATCCATTCTTGTGCTCCCCATGTCATACAGTACATTCTTGTGTTCCCCATGTCATACAGTACATTCTTGTGTTCCCCATGTTATACAGTAAATTCTTGTTCTCCCCATGTTATACAGTACATTCTTGTGCTCCCCATGTTATACAGTCCATTCTTGTGTTCCCCATGTCATTCAGTCCATTCTTGTGTTCCCCATGTCATACAGTACATTCTTGTGTTCCCCATGTCATACAGTACATTCTTGTGTTCCCCATGTTATACAGTACATTCTTATGTTCCCCATGTTATACAGTACATTCTTGTTTTCCCCGTGTTATACAGTACATTCTTAAGTTCCCCATGTTATACAGTGTGTTCTAATGTTCCCCATGTTATACAGTACACTCATATGTTCCCCAGAAAATTAAAATCAAAAGCATTTGTAGCCCTGCAAGCACTAGAGAAGGATCTTAACCAACTTGCTCAATTTCAGAGGTCAGTCTTTTAGTTCCTGTGATATCTATGGTTACGTGTGAATTGTTTGTCCATCTGTGATGTCTATGGTTATGTGTGCATTGTTTGTCCATATGTGATATCTATGGTTATGTGTGAATTGTTTGTCCATATGTGATATCTATGGTTATGTGTGAATTGTTTGTCCATATGTGATATCTATGGTTATGTGTGAATTGTTTGTCTATATGTGATATCTATGGTTATGTGTGAATTGTTTGTCCATATGTGATATCTATGGTTATGTGTGAATTGTTTGTCCATATGTGATATCTATGGTTATGTGTGAATTGTTTGTCTATATGTGATATCTATGGTTATTTGTGAATTGTTTGTCTATATGTGATGTCTATGGTTATGTGTGAATTGTTTGTCTATATGTGATGTCTATGGTTATTTGTGAATTGTTTGTCTATATGTGATATCTATGGTTATGTGTGAATTGTTTGTCCATGTGTCACTGGTTCCTGTGATGTCTATGGTCATGTGTGAATAGTGTCACTGGTTCCTGTGATGTCTAGTTATGTGTGAATTGTTTGTCCATGTGTCACTGGTTCCTGTGATGTCTATGGTTATGTGTGAATTGTTTGTCCATATGTCACTGGTTCCTGTGATGTCTATGGTTAAATGTGAATAGTGTCACTGGTTCCTGTGATGTCTATGGTTAAATGTGAAAAGTGTCACTGGTTCCTGTGATGTCTATGGTTATGTGTAAATTGTTTGTCCATATGTCACTGGTTCCTGTGATGTCTATGGTTATGTGTGAATTGTTTGTCCATATGTCACTGGTTCCTGTGATGTCTATGGTGATGTGTAAATTGTTTGTCCATATGTCACTGGTTCCTGTGATTGTGTGTGAATTGTTCACCCATATGTCACTGTTTCCTTTGATTGTGTGTGAATTGTTTATCCATATGTCACTGTTTCCTGTGATTGTGTGTGAATTGTTTATCCATGTGTCACTGTTTCCTGTGATTGTATGTGAATTGTTTATCCATGTGTCACTGTTTCCTGTGATTGTGTGTATATTGTTTGCCCATATGTCATTGGCTCCTTTGTAAGAATTGTCTGTCCATATCTCGATGGTTCCTGTAAATTGTTTGTCCACACCTCACTGGTTCCTGTTATACTCTCTGTGAATGAGTTGATCAGATGTGTGGTACTGCACAAGACAAAGTTTCCTGCTCTCAGTGTTTACAGTAGCAGCAAGTAGCTTCCCTGTCTCACATCTCCACAAGTCTCAGTGTTTACAGTAGCAGCAAGTAGCTTCCATGTCTCACATCTCCACAAGTCTCAGTGTTTACAGTAGCAGCAAGTAGCTTCCACGTCTCACATCTCCACAAGTCTCAGTGTTTACAGTAGCAGCAAGTAGCTTCCACGTCTCACATCTCCACAAGTCTCAGTGTTTACAGTAGCAGCAAGTAGCTTCTATGTCTCACATCTCCACAAGTCTCAGTGTTTACAGTAGCAGCAAGTAGCTTCCACGTCTCACATCTCCACAAGTCTCAGTGTTTACAGTAGCAGCAAGTAGCTTGCACGTCTCACATCTCCACAAGTCTCAGTGTTTACAGTAGCAGCAAGTAGCTTCCACGTCTCACATCTCCACAAGTCTCAGTGTTTACAGTAGCAGCAAGTAGCTTCCACGTCTCACATCTCCACAAGTCTCAGTGTTTACAGTAGCAGCAAGTAGCTTCCACGTCTCACATCTCCACAAGTCTCAGTGTTTACAGTAGCAGCAAACAGCTTCCATGTCTCACATCTCCACAAGTCTCAGTGTTTACAGTAGCAGCAAGTAGTTTCCATGTCTCACATCTCCACAAGTCTCAGTGTTTACAGTAGCAGCAAGTAGCTTCCATGTCTCACATCTCCACAAGTCTCAGTGTTTACAGTAGCAGCAAGTAGCTTCCATGTCTCACATCTCCACAAGTCTCAGTGTTTACAGTAGCAGCAAGTAGCTTCCACGTCTCACATCTCCACAAGTCTCAGTGTTTACAGTAGCAGCAAGTAGCTTCCCTGTCTCACATCTCCACAAGTCTCAGTGTTTACAGTAGCAGCAAGTAGCTTCCCTGTCTCACATCTCCACAAGTCTCAGTGTTTACAGTAGCAGCAAGTAGCTTCCACGTCTCACATCTCCACAAGTCTCAGTGTTTACAGTAGCAGCAAGTAGTTTCCATGTCTCACATCTCCACAAGTCTCAGTGTTTACAGTAGCAGCAAGTAGCTTCCATGTCTCACATCTCCACAAGTCTCAGTGTTTACAGTAGCAGCAAGTAGCTTCCATGTCTCACATCTCCACAAGTCTCAGTGTTTACAGTAGCAGCAAGTAGCTTGCATGTCTCACATCTCCACAAGCATGAGAACTTCCACAGTCAGTCCGCTCCTGGATGTTGTCATGCTTTCCTCTCTTCCCTCTCTCTCTCTCTCTCTCTCTCTCTCTCTCTCTCTCTCTCTCTCTCCCTCTCTCTCTCTCTCTCCTCTCTCTATCTCTCTCTGTGTGTGTGTGTGTGTGTGTTTATGATAGCTAGTGAGATGTGACACCAACCAGATCTCTTGTTGTTTCTCCACAGTTCCATCAGCGGTGTTGCTAACTATATCCACAAGTGCCCCCTGGGGATCATGCTGCCCCGTCTAGCTGGTAAGCTCTCTGTGTTATGGAAGTATGTTGGCTGGACTCATTGCTGTGTTGTTAACCTCACTCATTTGGTGTCCTAGTTCTCTGTGTTGTTAACCTCACTCATTTGGTGTCCTAGTTCTCTGTGTTGTTAACCTCACTCATCTGGTGTCCTAGTTCTCTGTGTTGTTAACCTCACTCATTTGGTGTCCTAGTTCTCTGTGTTGTTAACCTCACTCATTTGGTGTCCTAGTTCTCTGTGTTGTTAACCTCACTCATCTGGTGTCCTAGTTCTCTGTGTTGTTAACCTCACTCATCTGGTGTCCTAGTTCTCTGTGTTGTTAACCTCACTCATTTGGTGTCCTAGTTCTCTGTGTTGTTAACCTCACTCATTTGGTGTCCTAGTTCTCTGTGTTGTTAACCTCACTCATTTGGTGTCCTAGTTCTCTGTGTTGTTAACCTCACTCATCTGGTGTCCTAGTTCTCTGTGTTGTTAACCTCACTCATCTGGTGTCCTAGTTCTCTGTGTTGTTAACCTCACTCATCTGGTGTCCTAGTTCTCTGTGTTGTTAACCTCACTCATCTGGTGTCCTAGTTCTCTGTGTTGTTAACCTCACTCATCTGGTGTCCTAGTTCTCTGTGTTGTTAACCTCACTCATCTGGTGTCCTAGTTCTCTGTGTTGTTAACCTCACTCATCTGGTGTCCTAGTTCTCTGTGTTGTTAACCTCACTCATCTGGTGTCCTAGTTCTCTGTGTTGTTAACCTCACTCATCTGGTGTCCTAGTTCTCTGTGTTGTTAACCTCACTCATCTGGTGTCCTAGTTCTCTGTGTTGTTAACCTCACTCATCTGGTGTCCTAGTTCTCTGTGTTGTTAACCTCACTCATTTGGTGTCCTAGTTCTCTGTGTTGTTAACCTCACTCATCTGGTGTCCTAGTTCTCTGTGTTGTTAACCTCACTCATCTGGTGTCCTAGTTCTCTGTGTTGTGTCTAAGAGCCTAGACCATTAACATGAAGTGTGTGAAAGGTTAAATGGTACCAAGGTTTTTATCAAACCGAATCCAGGTTCCCATGTCTTTTTTCTTCTCTTCTCCGAGTTTTTTTAAGATATGTCCGTTTTAATGCACTATGTGAAATAATCATTGAGAACGTTTTCTTGGGAATCCTGAGAACTTGGTACCTTCTTTTTCATAGACTGAAAAAGATCTGGATAAAAGAAAATTCTTCATTCTATGAAATACTGGACAGGTATGGATAATTGAATAGTCTTCATTCAGTGAAACACTGAGACAGATCTGGATAATAGAATATTCTTCATTCTGTGAAACAATGAGACAGATCTGGATAATAGAATATTCTGTGAAACAATGAGACAGATCTGGATAATAGAATATTCTTCATTCTATGAAACAATAAGACAGATCTGGATAATAGAATATTCTTCATTCTATGAAACAATAAGACAGATCTGGATAATAGAATATTCTTCATTCTATGAAACAATGAGACAGATCTGGATAATAGAATATTCTTCATTCTGTGAAACAATGAGACAGATCTGGATAATAGAATATTCTTCATTCTGTGAAACAATGAGACAGATCTGGATAATAGAATATTCTTCATTCTGTGAAACACTGAGACAGATCTGGATAATAGAATATTCTTCATTCTGTGAAACACTGAGACAGATCTGGATAATAGAATATTCTTCATTCTGTGAAACAATGAGACAGATCTGGATAATAGAATATTCTTCATTCTGTGAAACAATGAGACAGATCTGGATAATAGAATATTCTTCATTCTGTGAAACACAGCGTGAACATGGTGGATATTTTCTTTTGATGTGTTTGTTTTCTTAGCGGGCCTTAATCTCTGTCCATCTCTCTTTCTGCCCCCTCACATTTTGTCCTACCTGTTCCTCACTCTCTGCCTGTTTGTCACTGCTTTCCTCTCTCTTTGTATTTGCTGCTCTCCCTCACTCCCCCCCCCCCCAATCTCTCTCCCTCTCTCTCTCTCTTTCTCCATACTTTCAGTTGGCGTAGAAGGTTATGTGTTGCCTAGTGCAGAACATTTCATGTCCACCACTACCCCTCCCTCACACACACATTAAATATATGTGTACTTTTAAAAACACATTTGCCGTCACCCCCACCCTTCCCCCCTTTCTCCTCCCACATTGATGACACTTAGGGGAGGGGGTGCACCCCTTCCTGCTACATTCTTCCCTCTATATCTCATCTTATTTCTTACTCCCTTATTTCCCTTCCTGTCTCAGTTCCCACTTTATTTTCTTAAACTTTCCTAATTCTATTTTTGGCGCTCAGTGTTCTTATCTCCCCCCCACAACCCTGTCTTACCTCTCTTCTCTCACCCCTTCTCTTTCCTTTGATCTTCTACTATTCTCCTTTCTCTCTCCATTCTTCCTCTTTTCCTTTCCTTGCCCTTTCTCCTGTCCCATCTCTTCTTTGTCTCCTCTCCATCCTGTCTTTTCATTTTTTTCTGGTTCATCTACATATGTTTTTTGAAATTGTGCCGGGGGAGTGGGTGGGGTTTCAGCACGAGGTTGTTTTTTTCTTCTTTGATGTATCTTGTCTCCCTTCCTTACCCATATCTCTCTCTCTCTCTCTCTCTCTCTCTCTCTCTCTCTCTCTCTCTCTCTCTCTTGCTTTATGTCTGTTTGCCTCCCTTCATCACTTCCTCTTTGTATACCTCCCTCCCATTCTCCTGCTCTGCCTTTTTTCTCTTTCTTTGGTTCTCTCCCTGTCTGCTTGCTTCTCTATGCTGTCCCTGTGTCTCTCTCTCCTTTATGTCTACATCTCTCTCTGCTTGCATCTGCTTCTCTCCGTGTACGTTCTCTCTCCGTCTCCCTTCTTTCAACTCTCTTTGTCATATTTTCCTCCTTCCATATCTCTGTTTCGTTTCCTTCTTCCTTCTCTCTTCATCAGCCCATCTCTGTATCTGCATTCCCTCTTTCTGTATTTGTCTCCCTCTCTGTCTTTCGCTGTCCCTTACCCACTTTCCCTCATCATGTCTCCATCCCTCCCTCTCGTTTTTTCCTCCTTCCCCAGACTCCTTTTCCTTCTTTCCTCTACCTTCATCTGTCCATCTTTACACTGTCTCTCCCAGCCTACCTCAGCATGTCTTCCTCCCTCTCTGTATGACTCTCTCTCTCTCTCTCCCCTAACCCTTTCAGGTACCAGGTCCAGAACATACAGGACTTCACTTTGCTGCCCTCTACCACCAAGTCTTAAAAAAATTCAAACACTATATCAAGCGCAGGGGGCTACCAACACAAAGATGGGTACGGGATATAAGTGACTCCTTGAGTATAAAAAAGTACATGAGACGGGAGAGCTGGTGAGAGACCGAGTTTTTTTTCAGGACAAAGGAAATGCTACATGATGATGATGATGATGATATATGTGCTGGGATAATAACACCTGTGGCACGAATGAAGTACATTGTGTGCTCGGTACACCCTTGAACAAGGCAAAAATCTTGTTTTAGTATTACACCGAGACAACCTTGAAAAAAACTAAGGAGACCTTGGAAAAGACCTCGAAAAGCCTTGAAATTGATTGGTGAATTTGGCTATGAACCCTGATAATAGAATATTTTTCATTCTGTGAAACACTGAGACAGATCTGGATAATAGAATATTCTTCATTCTGTGAAACACTCATTCAGATCTGGATAATAAAATATTTTTCATTCAGTGAAATTCTGTATTTAACTTTTTTTAAAGGAGCTTCCGTCCGTTGGTATCAGTCTTGTAGTTCTCTTCATTTTCAGCAGTGAAAATTATGTTATAATACACATTGCCATCGCCTTGTTTAAAATGTTAAACAGTTCCTTTTCAGGTGTGAATTCTTATGGTCGTTTCTTGTTGCTGTTATGTTGTCTTCAAAATTATTCTCATATCTTTGACACATATTCTTCAGTTTTTTAACATTCTAAATCACATTGATATCATTTGTACAGAATAAGCTAAATAGACACAGTAGTAGAAGGGCATGGGGGGTCATGACCCTCCTCTCTTGTCTATGGAGTCTGATAGCATAAATGTTATTGTTGACACCTGTAGTGGTACTGGCGCCACCTGACAGCAGAAACACCCTGGCCTAGGTACATTGATGCCTCTATATCTTGTCCATGCAGGAAAGCCTATGAAACTCATCTATTTTGTATCACCCTACGACTTGCTGGACAAGAAGTCCTTGGCCGCTCACCCTCTGACTGTAGAAGGTAAGCTGGGCTGGGTCTGGTTTTGTTAGTTAACTAGTGATTCAATATATTGTCCTCACTGCACGTCCAACAAGTCCATAAGCTCTCAGATCCCAGCTTTGTGATATCCTTCAGCTTCGGCAACTGATAACACCAGTTCTGTATTAGCTTACAGTTTGTTTTCTGACTGAATAACGTTCATGTCTGGCGACACCTCGTGTGACCTTAAGTTCTTGTAGTCTTTTGAATGTTGCTGACTCACTGTCATCTCTTGAATCATCTACTCATTCAATATCCTTAACAGCATTGAGGATATCAGCCTAGTCCATTGCTTTTTTCTGTACATAATCTGACCAGCAAGACAATCCACTGGTTCATTCCCTGTCTGACCAGCAAGACAATCCTCTCATTCATTCCCTGTCTGACCAGCAAGACAATCCTCTCATTCATTCCCGGTCTGACCAGCAAGACAATCCTCTCATTCATTCCCTGTCTGACCAGCAAGACAATCCTCTCATTCATTCCCTGTCTGACCAGCAAGACAACCCTATTATTCATTCCCTGTTACCTAAGAGTGCCCTGGCACAAAAATGACACGTATTCCTGTCCGACAAGATTTCCTCAGCAACTCCACCCATTTAGTCCAAATCCATTCTGTCTCATTCTTCTTAAGCATGCTCATGGACTCACTTAACGCACCCATGGGAAAAATTATGTGTCTGTAGCCACACCATTTTGTGGTGTCAGGGTGTTGTATTAGTGTCCTGAAATTTTGTGGTGTCAGGGTGTTGTATTAGTGTCCTGAAATTTTGTGGTGTCAGGGTGTTGTATTAGTGTCCTGAAATTTTGTGGTGTCAGGGTGTTGTATTAGTGTCCTGAAATTTTGTGGTGTCAGAGCATTGTGTCGTGTGGGTGTTCTGAGAGTTTGTGGTGTCAGAGATTGAAACTTGTGTCGTGTGAGTGTTCTGAGAGTTTGTGGTGTCAGAGCATGAAACTTGTGTCAGGAGGGTGTTCTGAGAGTTTGTGGTGTCAGAGATTGAAACTTGTGTCGTGTGAGTGTTCTGAGAGTTTGTGGTGTCAGAGCATGAAACTTGTGTCAGGAGGGTGTTCTGAGAGTTTGTTGTGTCAGAGCATGAAACTTGTGTCAGGAGGGTGTTCTGAGAGTTTGTGGTGTCAGAGCATGAAACTTGTGTCAGGAGGGTGTTCTGAGAGTTTGTGGTGTCAGAGCATGAAACTTGTGTCAGGAGGGTGTTCTGAGAGTTTGTGGTGTCAGAGCATGAAAACTTGTGTCAGGAGGGTGTTCTGAGAGTTTGTGGTGTCAGAGCATGAAACTTGTGTCAGGAGGGTGTTCTGAGAGTTTGTGGTGTCAGAGCATGAAACTTGTGTCAGGAGGGTGTTCTGAGAGTTTGTTGTGTCAGAGCATGAAACTTGTGTCAGGAGGGTGTTCTGAGAGTTTGTGGTGTCAGAGCATGAAACTTGTGTTGTGTGGGTGTTCTGAGAGTTTGTGGTGTCAGAGCATGAAACTTGTGTTGTGTGAGTGTTCTGAGAGTTTGTGGTGTCAGAGCATGAAACTTGTGTTGTGTGGGTGTTCTGAGAGTTTGTGGTGTCAGAGATTGAAACTTGTGTCAGGAGGGTGTTCTGAGAGTTTGTGGTGTCAGAGCATGAAACTTGTGTCGTGTGGGTGTTCTGAGAGTTTGTGGTGTCAGAGCATGAAACTTGTGTCAGGAGAGTGTTCTGAGAGTTTGTTGTGTCAGAGCATGAAACTTGTGTCGTGTGGGTGTTCTGAGAGTTTGTGGTGTCAGAGCATGAAACTTGTGTCGTGTGGATGTTCTGAGAGTTTGTGGTGTCAGAGATTGAAACTTGTGTCGTGTGGATGTTCTGAGAGTTTGTGGTGTCAGAGCATGAAACTTGTGTCGTGTGGATGTTCTGAGAGTTTGTGGTGTCAGAGCATGAAACTTGTGTCAGGTGGGTGTTCTGAGAGTTTGTGGTGTCAGAGCATGAAACTTGTGTCGTGTGGATGTTCTGAGAGTTTGTGGTGTCAGAGCATGAAACTTGTGTCAGGTGGGTGTTCTGAGAGTTTGTGGTGTCAGAGCATGAAACTTGTGTCGTGTGGATGTTCTGAGAGTTTGTGGTGTCAGAGCATGAAACATGTGTCAGGAGGGTGTTCTGAGAGTTTGTTGTGTCAGAGCATGAAACTTGTGTCAGGTGGGTGTTCTGAGAGTTTGTGGTGTCAGAGCATGAAACTTGTGTCAGGTGGGTGTTCTGAGAGTTTGTGGTGTCAGAGCATGAAACATGTGTCAGGTGGGTGTTCTGAGAGTTTGTGGTGTCAGAGCATGAAACTTGTGTCAGGTGGGTGTTCTGAGAGTTTGTGGTGTCAGAGCATGAAACTTGTGTCGTGTGGGTGTTCTGAGAGTTTGTGGTGTCAGAGATTGAAACTTGTGTCGTGTGGGTGTTCTGAGAGTTTGTGGTGTCAGAGATTGAAACTTGTGTCGTGTGGGTGTTCTGAGAGTTTGTTGTGTCAGAGCATGAAACTTGTGTCAGGTGGGTGTTCTGAGAGTTTGTGGTGTCAGAGCATGAAACTTGTGTCAGGAGGGTGTTCTGAGAGTTTGTGGTGTCAGAGCATGAAACTTGTGTCAGGTGGGTGTTCTGAGAGTTTGTGGTGTCAGAGCATGAAACTTGTGTCGTGTGGGTGTTCTGAGAGTTTGTGGTGTCAGAGATTGAAACTTGTGTCGTGTGGGTGTTCTGAGAGTTTGTGGTGTCAGAGATTGAAACTTGTGTCGTGTGGGTGTTCTGAGAGTTTGTTGTGTCAGAGCATGAAACTTGTGTCAGGTGGGTGTTCTGAGAGTTTGTGGTGTCAGAGCATGAAACTTGTGTCAGGAGGGTGTTCTGAGAGTTTGTGGTGTCAGAGCATGAAACTTGTGTCAGGTGGGTGTTCTGAGAGTTTGTGGTGTCAGAGCATGAAACTTGTGTCGTGTGGGTGTTCTGAGAGTTTGTGGTGTCAGAGCATGAAACTTGTGTCAGGAGGGTGTTCTGAGAGTTTGCGGTGTCAGAGCATGAAACTTGTGTCAGGTGGGTGTTCTGAGAGTTTGTGGTGTCAGAGCATGAAACTTGTGTCGTGTGGATGTTCTGAGAGTTTGTTGTGTCAGAGCATGAAACTTGTGTCGTGTGGATGTTCTGAGAGTTTGTGGTGTCAGAGCATGAAACTTGTGTCAGGAGAGTGTTCTGAGAGTTTGTGGTGTCAGAGCATGAAACTTGTGTCAGGTGGGTGTTCTGAGAGTTTGCGGTGTCAGAGCATGAAACTTGTGTCAGGTGGGTGTTCTGAGAGTTTGTGGTGTCAGAGATTGAAACTTGTGTCGTGTGGATGTTCTGAGAGTTTGTGGTGTCAGAGCATGAAACTTGTGTCAGGAGGGTGTTCTGAGAGTTTGTGGTGTCAGAGATTGAAACTTGTGTCGTGTGGATGTTCTGAGAGTTTGTGGTGTCAGAGCATGAAACTTGTGTCAGGAGGGTGTTCTGAGAGTTTGTGGTGTCAGAGCATGAAACTTGTGTCAGGAGGGTGTTCTGAGAGTTTGTGGTGTCAGAGCATGAAACTTGTGTCAGGAGGGTGTTCTGAGAGTTTGTGGTGTCAGAGCATGAAACTTGTGTCGTGTGAGTGTTCTGAGAGTTTGTTGTGTCAGAGCATGAAACTTGTGTCGTGTGGATGTTCTGAGAGTTTGTGGTGTCAGAGCATGAAACTTGTGTCAGGTGGGTGTTCTGAGAGTTTGTGGTGTCAGAGCATGAAACTTGTGTCAGGTGGGTGTTCTGAGAGTTTGTGGTGTCAGAGCATGAAACTTGTGTCAGGTGGGTGTTCTGAGAGTTTGTGGTGTCAGAGATTGAAACTTGTGTCAGGTGGGTGTTCTGAGAGTTTGTGGTGTCAGAGCATGAAACTTGTGTCAGGTGGGTGTTCTGAGAGTTTGTGGTGTCAGAGCATGAAACTTGTGTCAGGTGGGTGTTCTGAGAGTTTGTGGTGTCAGAGCATGAAACTTGTGTCAGGTGGGTGTTCTGAGAGTTTGTGGTGTCAGAGCATGAAACTTGTGTCAGGTGGGTGTTCTGAGAGTTTGTGGTGTCAGAGCATGAAACTTGTGTCAGGTGGGTGTTCTGAGAGTTTGTGGTGTCAGAGCATGAAACTTGTGTCAGGTGGGTGTTCTGAGAGTTTGTGGTGTCAGAGCATGAAACTTGTGTCAGGTGGGTGTTCTGAGAGTTTGTGGTGTCAGAGCATGAAACTTGTGTCAGGTGGGTGTTCTGAGAGTTTGTGGTGTCAGAGCATGAAACTTGTGTCGTGTGGATGTTCTGAGAGTTTGTGGTGTCAGAGCATGAAACTTGTGTCAGGTGGGTGTTCTGAGAGTTTGTGGTGTCAGAGATTGAAACTTGTGTCAGGTGGGTGTTCTGAGAGTTTGTGGTGTCAGAGCATGAAACTTGTGTCAGGTGGGTGTTCTGAGAGTTTGTGGTGTCAGAGCATGAAACTTGTGTCAGGTGGGTGTTCTGAGAGTTTGTGGTGTCAGAGCATGAAACTTGTGTCAGGTGGGTGTTCTGAGAGTTTGTGGTGTCAGAGCATGAAACTTGTGTCAGGAGGGTGTTCTGAGAGTTTGTGGTGTCAGAGCATGAAACTTGTGTCAGGTGGGTGTTCTGAGAGTTTGCAGTCTGGGTGGGGTGTGAGAGTTTGTGATGTCAGGATGTCGACTGGGAGTTGGTGGTGTCTAGGAGTTTGTGATGTCAGGGCGCTATCTGGATGTTGTATTAATGTACTGGAATTGTGTGGTTTCAGGGCGTGAAACATGTGTCGTGTGAGTGTTCTGAGAGTTTGTGATGTCAGGGTGCTATCTGGATGTTGTATTGATGTACTGGAATTGTGTGGTGTCAGAGCAATTAAACTTGTGTCGTGTAGATGTACTGAGAGTTTGTGGTCTGGGTGGGGTGTGAAAGTTTGTGATGAACTCATGTCGTGAGGGTGTTTTCGGAGTTGTGGCATCTGGGTGTACTTACAGTCAGCCCCTGCTCATGTCTTGTATTTCTGGGACGTAAATTTCATTATTCAACAGTCAAGTACTTACAGTCAGCCCCTGCACATGTCTTGTGTATCTGGGATATGACTTTTATCATTCAACAGTCAAGTACTTACAGTCAGCCCCTGCACATGTCTTGTGTATCTGGGATATCACTTTTATCATTCAACAGTCAAGTACTTACAGTCAATTTGTGCACATGTCTGGGATGTGACTTTTATCACTCAGCAGTCAAGTACTTCAGCCAGCCCCTAGGATGTGACTTTATCATTCTACAGTCAAGTACTTATAGTGGATCTCTACACATGTCTAGGATCTGACTTTGTCATTCAACAGTCAAGTAGTTCAGTCAGCCCCTACGCATATCTAGAATGTGACTTTTACAACTCAACAGTCAAGTACTTACAGTTACCCCCTGCATAGGTCTTGTATGTCTGGGACATGACTTTTATCATTCAACAATCAAGTACCTAGTCAGCCCTACACATGTCTAAGATCTACACATGTCTAAGATCTACACATGTCTAAGATCTACACATGTCTAAGATCTACACATGTCTAAGATCTACACATGTCTAAGATCTACACATGTCTAAGATCTACGCATGTCTAAGATCTACGCATGTCTAAGATCTACGCATGTCTAAGATCTACGCATGTCTAAGATCTACGCATGTCTAAGATCTACACATGTCTAAGATCTACGCATGTCTAGGGTGTGACTTTTACAATTCAACAGTCAAGTACTTACAGTCACCCCCTGCACATGGCTAAGATGTGACTTTTATCACTCAACAGTCGAGTACTTACAGTCACCCCCTGCACATGTCTAAGATGTGACTTTTATCACTCAACGGTTGAGTACTTACAGTCACTCCCTGCACATGTCTTGTGTGTCTGGGATATGACTTTTATCATTCAGCAGTCAGGTACTTACAGTCACCCCCTGCACATGTCTAGGGTGTGACTTTTATCACTCAGCAGTCGAGTATGATATGGTGTGATGTTGATGTTGGGTGACACACTGTCCCACACATGTATGGGGTGTGACATTGGTGTTGGATAACACACTGTCCCACACATCTGAACTATTAGACTGTGTCTACTTACCCTTGGAGGTACATTCCATCTGAACTAGGGTACTGCCTACCCTTGGAGGCACATTCCATCTGAACTATTAGACTCTGTCTACTTACCCTTGGAGGTACATTCCATCTGAACTATTAGACTCTGTCTACTTACCTTTAAAGGCACATTCCCTCTACGCACCTAGCCTTAGAGGTACATTTCCTCTACACACCTAGTCTTAGAGGTACATTCCCTCTACTCACTTTTCCTTGGAGGCACATTCCATCTAAACTAGTGGAGTGTACCCACCCACCTACCCTTAGAGGCACATTCTATCTAAACCAGTGGACTCTACACACTTACCCTAGGAGGTACATTCTATCTAAACTAGTGGACTCTACACACTTACCCTAGGTTGTACATTCTATCTAAACTAGTGGACTCTACACACTTACCCTAGGTTGTACATTCTATCTAAACTAGTGGACTCTACTCACTTACCCTAGGTTGTACATTCTATCTAAACTAGTGGACTCTACACACTTACCCTAGGTTGTACATTCTATCTAAACTAGTGGACTCTACTCACTTACCCTAGGTTGTACATTCTTTCTAAACTAGTGGACTCTACTCACTTACCCTAGGTTGTACATTCTATCTAAACTAGTGGACTCTACTCACTTACCCTAGGTTGTACATTCTATCTAAACTAGTGGACTCTACACACTTACCCTAGGTTGTACATTCTATCTAAACTAGTGGACTCTACTCACTTACCCTAGGTTGTACATTCTTTCTAAACTAGTGGACTCTACTCACTTACCCTAGGTTGTACATTCTATCTAAACTAGTGGACTCTACTCACTTACCCTAGGTTGTACATTCTATCTAAACTAGTGGACTCTACTCACTTACCCTAGGTGGTACACTCTATCTAAACTAGGGAAATCTACATAACTACCCTAGGTGGTACATTCTATCTAAACTAGGGAAATCTACATAACTACCCTAGGTGGTACACTCTATCTAAAATAGGGAAATCTACATAACTACCCTAGGTGGTACATTCTATCTAAACTAGGGAAATCTACATAACTACCCTAGGTGGTACATTCTATCTAAACTAGGGAAATCTACACACCTACCCTAGGTGGTACACTCTATCTAAAATAGGGAAATCTACATAACTACCCTAGGTGGTACACTCTATCTAAACTAGGGAAATCTACATAACTACCCTAGGTGGTACACTCTATCTAAAATAGGGAAATCTACATAACTACCCTAGGTGGTACACTCTATCTAAAATAGGGAAATCTACATAACTACCCTAGGTGGTACATTCTATCTAAACTAGGGAAATCTACACACCTACCCTATCAGGTATATTCCATCTAAACTAGGGGACTCTACACACTTACCCTTGGAGACACATTCCTTCTAAACTAGCGGCCTCTCCTTATCTGCCCCAACAGACAGTAGATGCAAGAAGTATGGCTAGAAGACAATTCACAACAACAAAAGACATAAGATAATGTCAAAGCAGTGACTACTGACACAAGACTGACACCAAACATGGGATCTGATGTGACGAGTGTCACTAAATCTTCTGTATCATTTTTTCTTGCAGCCATAACAGAAAACTTGCTGGGTCAGAGTGTCAATGTCTGTATTGAACCAGTTCCAGAGTCTGCCCCGGCCAATAAACTCCAGACCATGCCGCTCATGAATGTCAGCAAGACACAGGATGGAAAGAGGTTTCAATTCACATGTTTTCTTGTTGCTAAACTTACAGCCCACAGTTATGGACTTGTTTGTGCTCTCTTCTTGCCATCTGTTTGCTGCTGTTCCAGATCTGTTGCTAGTGTATTGTCATTTTTGTGGTTGCAATGCAGCACGATAATCAAAGTATTCAGTCTTCTTCTTCTCAGTAAAGTTAATGCATGTTGTTTGTCATTGTAGGCCAAGTGTAGATTCCGCAGCCTAGCTTTGAACTACAGCACTACATGCCAACCACCCTTTTAAGAGTTAAAGATAAAATATGAAATATCGTTTCTCACTTGGTCTCAGGTAGTAAGTTGGCGGCTTTCCTGGAGCATCTCCTGTCAGTGTTAATCTGATACATGTTAGCTTTTGATAATAACCACGTCTGACACCAGTAGTAACAAAGTGTCGGTATGGATATGCTGTTTATAATCCTACTTGTCTGCCATACTTGTCTGCCATACTTGTCTGCCATACTTGTCTGCCATACTTGTCTGCCATACTTGTGTTTACATGTCATAATAATGTAGCTGGGTGGTATAAACTTGTCAGAACAGTTGCTTCTGGGCATCTTGTGTCTGTTTCCCCATCTGTTCAGTCGTCCTCTGAGAATATCACAGAGATGTTAAATGTGATATACAAATTTGTTAACTCTGTAGAACAGGCACTGATCATCAGAAAATAGTTGCTTGTTTATTTTTGCGGATTTTATCCATCGTCTGGAATGTGAAGTTCCTCATTGTCTGGGTCAGCTGTTGCTGTTTCAAAGCTTGCTGTGTTGACTGTGAGTAAATCTGATATACCTTCTTTTGTTATTACTGCATTTTGGCTTATTTGATGCCTGCGAATTAACACTTCTGGGTTACTGGGTCACAGGTCATGTGTAAGAGGGTCAGTGCACAACAGGATTTCTGGGTTACTAGGTTACATCTCATGTGTAGGGCGGTCGGTCTCCAACAAGACTTCTGGGTTACTAGGTTACATCTCATGTGTAGGGCGGTCGGTCTCCAACAAGACTTCTGGGTTACTAGGTTACATCTCCTGTGTGAGACTTCTGGGTTACTATGTTACATCTCATGTGTAAGAGGGTCAGTGTACAACAAGACTTCTGGGTTACTAGGTTACATCTCATGTGTAGGGCGGTCGGTCTCCAACAAGACTTCTGGGTTACTAGGTTACATCTCATGTGTAGGGCGGTCGGTCTCCAACAAGACTTCTTTTAGGGTAAGAAAGCTCGTAGCCACTCTTAAAACCTTGAAAACACCTTGAACACCAGCTTGGCCTCTCAAGCCGCCAGAAACATTGAAAAGTTCAAAGATTTCTATTCCTTGCAGTTTGCCAGCAGTAACCATTAAAATAAAATAAAAATAAGGGGAAAATCTTAAATGTGAGTCATAATGACTACATTAAAAAAAAAAAACAGCAGTTTTTGAATTGAAGTAGCCCCTCCCCCCCCCCCTAAACTTATCTCAGCTCTGTTCTCCCCTCTCTGTGTGCATCAGTCTAAACTTATCTCAGCCCTGTTCTCCCCTCTCTGTGTGCATCAGTCTAAACTTATCTCAGCTCTGTTCTCCCCTCTCTGTGTGCATCAGTCTAAACTTATCTCAGCTCTGTTCTCCCCTCTCTGTGTGCATCAGTCTAAACTTATCTCAGCCCTGTTCTCCCCTCTCTGTGTGCATCAGTCTAAACTTATCTCAGCTCTGTTCTCCCCTCTCTGTGTGCATCAGTCTAAACTTATCTCAGCTTTGTTCTCCCCTCTCTGTGTGCATCAGTCTAAACTTAGCTCTGTTCTCCCCTCTCTGTGTGCATCAGTCTAAACTTATCTCAGCCCTGTTCTCCCCTCTCTGTGTGTATCAGTCTAAACTTATCTCAGCTCTGTTCTCCCCTCTCTGTGTGCATCAGTCTAAACTTATCTCACCTCTGTTCTCCCCTCTCTGTGTGCATCAGTCTAAACTTATCTCGGCTCTGTTCTTCCCTCTCTGACTATGTAAAGTAAGCACACACAGAGATGTAGTCGAAACACAACAATGACGTTATTACTGTTTTTTGTGGTGTAGCAAAAAAGTCATCCAGTCGTTGTCCTAGGTTCTCACGCCTTGTTTACGATTGCCAGCCACAACAAGACTATAGATTCAGTCATCTTTCAGTCTGAATGTTCCATTCACGCAGGTATCTTGCATCTGAATCACAGTACCATAGATATTCACAGTCGCTCCATGTTGCAATTCAGAGTCAGTTCTGTTCAGACATGTCTTTGTGCTCCAGGTCCTGGTTCCCTCAGTTCACAAGGCAGTGAACAATCAGTCTCTCCATGTAAGCAACCTTCTGTTCAGACATGTCTTTGTGCTCCAGGTCCTGGTTCCCTCAGTTCACAAGGCAGTGAACAATCAGTCTCTCCATGTAAGCAACCTTCTGTTCAGACATGTCTTTGTGCTCCAGGTCCTGGTTCCCTCAGTTCACAAGGCAGTGAACAATCAGTCACTCCATGTAAGCATCCTGTCTCTGTCTCCTTTGTCACCTTGTCACCTTTGTTCTCCTCCCACGGGTGTCAACTTGCAAATGTTCGCTCAAACAGGAATTTGCCAGTGCCCCTTCTCCAGGTTTTCCTCACATAACCGGCCCTTGACCCCAACTCATCATATTGGGGAACCCTTTAGGAATTCTGGAATTTCCTCCTCATTAAAATGTGTGCTATACAGAAATCATGGGGCTGTTCTTGAGGGAATGCTGGGAGTTGTGGAATTGTTTCACCATGAAGCCAGAAGTATTTGTGTGTGTGTGATACGTTCGATTGTGCAGTTACTGTAGAGATGTCCATAGTGTGTTGTTAGTAGTTTGTCCCTGTAGAGATGTTGTTAGTTTGTTGCTGTAGAGAAATCTGTAGTCTGTTGTTGGTAGATTTTTACTGTCTGTTATGTGTAGTTTGTTACTTGTAATAGGTAGATTGTTACTGTCTGTTATGTGTAGTTTGTTACTGTCTGTTATGTGTAGTTTGTTACTTTGTGATAGGTAGACTGTTACTGTGTGTTATGTGTAGTTTGTTACTTTGTGATAGGTAGATTGTTACTGTCTGTTATGTGTAGTTTGTTACTTTGTGTTAAGGTAGATTGTTACTGTCTGTTATGTGTAGTTTGTTACTTTGTGATAGGTAGCTTGTCACTGTCTGTTATGTGTAGTTTGTTACTTTGTGATAGGTACATTGTTGCTGTCTGTTATGTGCAGTTTGTTATTTTGTAATAAAAATTGTTGTGTCTCCACAGCTTGCCCTCATTCTCTGCAGTCAGTAAAATCAACAGCATGATGCTTCCTGCCAGTTTTGTCCTGGTTCTAGCTCAAGGCGTCCCTGTCTCCGCACAGATTCTCCAGAAGATCACCTCCCTGACATGTAAGCTCACCCTCCCTGACATGTAAGCTCACCCTCCCTGACATGTAAGCTCACCCTCCCTGACATGTAAGCTCACCCTCCCTGACATGTAAGCTCACCCTCCCTGACATGTAAGCTCACCCTCCCTGACATGTAAGCTCACTGTTTGTTGATTGCTCACTGGGGCTAGTTCCTGTGACCAGTTTTATCATCTGCTGCTATGAATACCATCAGACCTAATCACTTGTCTTTCCCTGATCATTTCCTCAACACAACTGATGAATTATATTGCCAGGCTGGAACCAGACCAGTCGGGAATAATAATGCTGGGGTTGAACCCAGATTGCTGACCTGTATAGCAAAGGCACTAGCCACTCTGCCATCACAACACTGAAGAGATCAGAAAATTGGTCTCTATGTGTTTAGTTGAGAAATATATCAGGTTTGTCTGTACTGTGACTGAAGAGAGACTCAAAAAGATTGTATGTGTTTAGTTGAGAAATATATCAGGTTTATCTGTACTGTGACTGGAGAGAGAGAGAGAAAGATGGTCTGTATGTGTTTTGTTGAGAAATATATCAGGTTTATCTGTACTGTGACTGGAGAGAGAGAGAGAGAGAAAGATGGTCTGTATGTGTTTAGTTGAGAAATATATCAGGTTTGTCTGTCCCAGAACTGAAAATGATGAGCCATGAGAAAGAGAAGGCTGTATTTTGAAAGGCACAGGATGAAACAAAACATCACCAGCAGCAATTGAAGAGATTCACAGGCAAGAAAACATTTAGCCGTGGAGGATCCTGAAGGGTGAAACTGTTGCTGGAACAGTTCTGTGAGCACTGTTGTTGCTGGAACAGTTCTGTGAGCACTGTTGTTGCTGGAACAGGTCTGTGAGCACTGTTGTTGCTGGAACAGTTCTGTGAGCACTATTGTTGCTGGAACAGGTCTGTGAGCACTGTTGTTGCTGGCTCTTTCCAGCAGATCTGTGAGCACTGTTGTTGCTGGCTCTTTCCAGCAGGTCTGTGAGCACTATTGTTGTTGGAACAGGTCTGTGAGCACTGTTGTTGCTGGAACAGGTCTGTGAGCACTGTTGTTGCTGGAACAGGTCTGTGAGCACTGTTGTTACTGGAGCAGGTCTGTGAGCACTGTTGTTGCTGGAGCAGGTCTGTGAGCACTGTTGTTGCTGGAACAGGTCTGTGAGCACTGTTGTTGCTGAAACAGTTCTGTGAGCACTGTTGTTGCTGGAACAGGTCTGTGAGCACTGTTGTTGCTGGAATAGTTCTGTGAGCACTGTTGTTGCTGGAACAGGTCTGTGAGCACTGTTGTTGCTGAAACAGTTCTGTGAGCACTGTTGTTGCTGGAACAGGTCTGTGAGCACTGTTGTTGCTGGAATAGTTCTGTGAGCACTGTTGTTGCTGGAACAGGTCTGTGAGGACTGTTGTTGCTGGCTCTTTCCAGCAGGTCTGTCATTGTACCAGCATTTCACATACAGACAACTTCCTTGACCTCCGGGAATTTTCTCTTACACTGAGGAAATGATTTCTCTGAATGTTCTCAAGCTGGAATCTGTCAAATGTGGTGCCTGAATGTTCTCAAGTGTCTGGACAAGCTGGAATCTGTAACATGTGGTGCCATGTAACTCTAAATGTGTGACATTATTTGCAGACTATCAGTGACTTCATTGGCTGGAGCTAGTAATCTTTGTGTTATATGTGTATGGAGTAAAATATAATCCTTGCCAGGGAGTGCTCGGCCATAGCCTGCATTTAAACCATGAACCTTCAGTGCAGTTTATATTTTTATATAAATATTCTGAACTTTAATTATACCAAAATGGGAGGATCCATGTTCTAGGCAGGACTGGTGCTTTCGGCAGGCTGTGTTGGGAGTGTGTTATCAAACTGGATCATTCCAAATAGAATAATTGCCTCTGAGCTCAGTGTTGTCAGGCTAACAAATGTTTGCTGGTCTGTTTAGTGCATGAAGTGTATTCAGCATGAACCAAGATGATTCATGGGACACTCTTTTTGTTTCCTACAGGTCTGGAAATCCACAAAGAGGCCGAATGTAGGAGTTTGCGATCCTTGATTCTGGAGACATTCTCTGGGGGGGACATCAGAGAAGAAAGGAGGTTGGTTGTCGTAAGTATTCTTTCTGACATTGACATATCACATTTGCGTATGGTATCAACGTACAGCTTGTTGTTGGTTTAGAGATACTAGCTGGCAGGCAGACATTTGTAACTGTATGTACTGTTTTAGTGAAGGTTGGTCCAAGCCACGACTATTGTACCCACCAGGATAATACAGCTTTTCTCAGTCATTAACATCATGTACCATACTGCTGATTCATCCATGAGGACAGTGAGGGACATACCAAGGATTATGTCAGTGAAATGTAGATGTATACTGCTGATTCATCCATGAGGACAGTGAGGGACATACCAAGGATTATGTCAGTGAAATGTAGATGTATACTGCTGATTCATCCATGAGGACAGTGAGGGACATACCAAGGATTATGTCAGTGAAATGTAGATGTATACTGCTGATTCATCCATGAGGACAGTGAGGGACATACCAAGGATTATGTCAGTGAAATGTAGATGTATACTGCTGATTCATCCATGAGGACAGTGAGGGACATACCAAGGATTATGTCAGTGAAATGTAGATGTATACTGCTGATTCATCCATTAGGACAGTGAGGGACATACCAAGGATTATGTCAGTGAAATGTAGATGTATACTGCTGATTCATCCATAACGACAGTGAGGGACATACCAAGGATTATGTCAGTGAAATGTAGATGTATACTGCTGATTCATCCATAACGACAGTGAGGGACATACCAAGGATTATGTCAGTGAAATGTAGATGTATACTGCTGATTCATCCATAACAACAGTAAGGGACATACCAAGGATTATGTCAGTGAAATGTAGATGTATACTGCTGATTCATCCATAACGACAGTGAGGGACATACCAAGGATTATGTCAGTGCATCATATAGATGTATACGGCGTGTGACACTGAACATTTAAACTGAGTACAACAGTGAAACTTGTGTCAACGATTCAACATTGACACTGAGTACAACAGTAAGGTGTGTGGCAGTGGTTAAACATTGACACTAGTACAACAGTGAGGCGTGTGACAATTGTTGAACATTGACACTGAGTACAGCATTACGGCGTGTGACACTGGTTGAACATTGACACTGGGTACAACAGAGAGGCATGTGGCAGTGGTTGAACATTGATACTCAGTACAACACTGAGGCATGTGGCAGTGGTTGAACATTGATACTCAGTACAATGGATTTGCTTGGAAATGTCATCAGCTTTATATTCGTCCTGTCTGTAATATCTTTGGATCATTCAAGAAGGCATAAATGACTGAACTACAAGTTCAGTGATTGGGGGGGGGGGGGGGGCAGCTGTGCCAGTAATTAGTATTTGTGCTTATCAGCATGATGATTGCCTGTGAATATATATATATATTCCAGATGTGTGATAATAGTGGATATGCAGATGGATGTGTGATAATAGTGGATCTGATGTGTGATAGATAATAGTGGATCTGTTGACTGATGTGTGATAATAGTGGATCTGTTGACTGATGTGTGATAATAGTGGATGTGTATACTCTGTTGACTGATTTGTGATGATGGTGGATGTGCAGACTGTTGACTGGTGTGTGATGATAGTGGATGTGCAGACTGTTGACTGGTGTGTGTTGATAGTGGATGTATTGACTGGTGTGTGATCATAGTGGATGTGTTGACTGGTGTGTGATGATAGTGGATGTGCAGACTGTTGACTGGTGTGTGTTGATAGTGGATGTATTGACTGGTGTGTGATCATAGTGGATGTGTTGACTGGTGTGTGATCATAGTGGATGTATTGACTGGTGTGTAATCATAGTGGATGTATTGACTGGTGTGTAATCATAGTGGATGTGTTGACTGGTGTGTGATGATAGTGGATGTGCAGACTATTGACTGGTGTGTGATGATAGTCGATGTGCAAATGTTGCTGACTTATGTGTGATGGTAGTGGATCCGCAAGACTTTGTTGACTGATGTGTGATGGTAGTGGATCTGCAGGACTTTGTTGACTGGTGTGTGATGGTAGTGGATCTGCAGGACTTTGTTGACTGGTGTGTGATGGTAGTGGATCTGCAAGACTTTGTTGACTGATGTGTGATGGTAGTGGATCTGCAAGACTTTGTTGACTGATGTGTGATGATAGTGGATCTGCAGGACTTTGTTGACTGGTGTGTTCCTGTTTCAGTCCCTGCCTGACCAGCAGCACATCTACTTTCTGGAATGTCTCAATGGAGGCTGCCAGGAGCATCAGGGCCTGATGGTCTCTCGCATCCCCTTCACACACCCCACCCATGTGCCACAGATCTTGAATCTCCTCAGGCAGCAGCTTTTGTTTAATATCGTTGTGGGCAGCTGTGTCCGGCCAGGAGCCAAGTCAGGTAGGTCCTCTTCTCATTAGTCCAGTTTATAGCTACATTCATGATTGTTCTTGCTCTCTGTCATACATACTAGCTAGGCTTTCTCTCTCTCATACCTTGTCCAGTTTATAGCTACATTCATGATTGTTTTTGCTCTCTGTCATACAGACTGGCTAGGCTTTCTCTCTCTCTCATACCTTGTCCAGTTTATAGCTACATTCATGATTGTTCTTGCTCTCTGTCATACAGACTAGCTAGGCTTTCTCTCTCTCATAGACTAGCCAGGCTTTCTCTCTCTCTCTCTCTCTTTCCCCCCCTCTCTCTCCCTCTCTCTCTCTTTCTCTCCCCTCTCTCCCTCCCTCTCGCTCTCTCTCTCCCCTCTCTCTCTCTTCCCCCCTCTCTCTCTCTCTCTCTCTCTCTCTCCCCTCCCTCTCTCTCTCTCTCTCCCTCCCCTCTCTCCCTCCCTCTTTCTCTCCCTCCCTCTTTCTCTCCCTCTCTCTCTCTCTCTCTCTCTCTCTCTCTCTCTCTCTCCATGACTAACAAACTAGCGAGAATTTATCTTTCTCACAGACTAGCCACAATTTCTCTCTCTCTCACAGACTAGCCTTCCATTCTCTCACAGACTAGCCTGGTTCTCTCTCTCTCTCACACATAAACACACAGAGTAGCCTGGTTCTCTCTCGCTCTCACACATAAACACACAGACTAGCCTGGTTCTGTCTCGCTCACACATAAACACACAGACTAGCCTGGTTCTGTCTCGCTCACACATAAACACACAGACTAGCTTGGTTCTCTCTCTCTCACACATAAACACACAGACTAGCCTGGTTCTCTCTGTCTCTCTCTCTCACATAAACACACAGACTAGCCTGGTTCTCTCTCTCTCTCACACATAAACACACAGACTAGCCTGGTTCTCTCTCTCTCACACATAAACACACAGACTAGCCTGGTTCTCTCTCTCTCACACATAAACACAGACTAGCCTGGTTCTCTCTCTCTCTCTCTCTCTCACACATAAACACACAGACTAACCTGGTTCTCTCTCTCTCTCTCTCTCACACACATAAACACACAGACTAGCCTACCATTCTCTCACAGACTAGCCTGGTTTTCTCTCTCGCTCACACATAAACACACAGACTAGCCTGGTTCTGTCTCTCTCACACATAAACATACAGACTAGCTTGGTTCTCTCTCTCTCACACATAAACTCACAGACTAGCCTGGTTCTCTCTCTCTCACACATAAACACACAGACTAGCCTGGTTCTCTCTCTCTCACACATAAACACACAGACTAGCCTGGTTCTCTCTCTCTCTCTCTCACACATAAACACACAGACTAGCCTGGTTCTCTCTCTCTCTCTCACACATAAACACACAGACTAGCCTACCATTCTCTCACAGACTAGCCTGGTTCTCTCTCTCTCTCACACATAAACACACAGGCTAGCCTGGTTCTCTCTCTCTCTCTCACACATAAACACACAGACTAGCCTGGTTCTCTCTCTCTCACACATAAACACACGGACTAGCCTGGTTCTCTCTCTCTCTCACACATAAACACACAGACTAGCCTGGTTCTGTCTCGCTCACACATAAACACACAGACTAGCCTGGTTCTCTCTCTCTCTCACACATAAACACACAGACTAGCCTACCATTCTCTCACAGACTAGCCTGGTTCTCTCTCTCACACATAAACACACAGACTAGCCTGGTTCTGTCTCGCTCACACATAAACACACAGATTAGCCTGGTTCTGTCTCTCTCACACACATAAACACACAGACTAGCCTACCATTCTCTCACAGACTAGCCTGGTTCTCTCTCTCACACATAAACACACAGACTAGCCTGGTTCTGTCTAGCTCACACATAAACACACAGACTAGCCTACCATTCTCTCACAGACTAGCCTGGTTCTGCCTCGCTCACACATAAACACACAGACTAGCCTGGTTCTGTCTCTCTCACACATAAACACACAGATTAGCCTGGTTCTGTCTCTCTCACACATAAACACACAGATTAGCCTGGTTCTCTCTCTCTCTCTCACACATAAACACACAGACTAGCCTGGTTCTGTCTCGCTCACACATAAACACACAGACTAGCCTGGTTCTGTCTCGCTCACACATAAACACACAGACTAGCCTGGTTCTCTCTCTCTCTCTCCCACACATAAACACACAGACTAGCCTTGTTCTCTCTCTCTCTCACACATAAACACACAGACTAGACTGGCTCTGTCTCGCTCACACATAAACACACAGATTAGACATGATCATCTCATGTTAGGTTACTGTGGCTCCATACAGTCATGATCATCTCATGTTAGGTAACTGTGGCTCCATACAGTCATGATCATCTCATGTTAGGTAACTGTGGCTCCATACAGTCATGATCATCTCATGTTAGGTTACTGTGGCTCCATACAGTCATGATCATCTCATGTTAGGTTACTGTGGCTCCATACAGTCATGATCATCTCATGTTAGGTTACTGTGGCTCCATACAGTCATGATCATCTCATGTTAGTTTACTGTGGCTCCATACAGTCATGATCATCTCATGTTAGGTAACTGTGGCTCCATACAGTCATGATCATCTCATGTTAGGTTACTGTGGCTCCATACAGTCATGATCATCTCATGTTAGGTAACTGTGGCTCCATACAGTCATGATCATCTCATGTTAGGTAACTGTGGCTCCATACAGTCATGATCATCTCATGTTAGGTTACTGTGGCTCCATACAGTCATGATCATCTCATGGTAGGTTACTGTGGCTCCATACAGTCATGATCATCTCATGGTAGGTAACTGTGGCTCCATACAGTCATGATCATCTCATGTTAGGTTACTGTGGCTCCATACAGTCATGATCATCTCTTGTTAGGTTACTGTGGCTCCATACAGTCATGATCATCTCATGTTAGGTAACTGTGGCTCCATACAGTCATGATCATCTCATGGTAGGTAAATGTGGCTCCATACAGTCATGATCATCTCTTGTTAGGTTACTGTGGCTCCATACAGTCATGATCATCTCATGTTAGGTTACTGTGGCTCCATACAGTCATGATCATCTCTTGTTAGGTTACTGTGGCTCCATACAGTCATGATCATCTCATGTTAGGTTACTGTGGCTCCATACAGTCATGATCATCTCATGTTAGGTAACTGTGGCTCCATACAGTCATGATCATCTCATGTTAGGTTACTGTGGCTCCATACAGTCATGATCATCTCTTGTTAGGTTACTGTGGCTCCATACAGTCATGATCATCTCATGATAGGTAAATGTGGCTCCATACAGTCATGATCATCTCATGTTAGGTAACTGTGGCTCCATACAGTCATGATCATCTCATGTTAGGTAACTGTGGCTCCATACAGTCATGATCATCTCATGTTAGGTTACTGTGGCTCCATACAGTCATGATCATCTCTTGTTAGGTTACTGTGGCTCCATACAGTCATGATCATCTCTTGTTAGGTTACTGTGGCTCCATACAGTCATGATCATCTCTTGTTAGGTTACTGACTGTATGGAGCCACAGTTACCTAACATGAGATGATCATGACTGTATGGAGCCACAGTTACCTAACATGAGATGATCATGACTGTATGGAGCCACAGTTACCTAACATGAGATGATCATGACTGTATGGAGCCACAGTTACCTAACATGAGATGATCATTACTGTATGGAGCCACAGTTACCTTACATGAGATGATCATGACTATATGGAGCCACATTTACCTATCATGAGATGATCATGACTGTATGGAGCCACAGTTACCTAACATGAGATGATCATGACTGTATGGAGCCACAGTAACCTAACAAGAGATGATCATGACTGTATGGAGCCACAGTTACCTAACATGAGATGATCATGACTGTATGGAGCCACAGTTACCTAACATGAGATGATCATGACTGTATGGAGCCACATTTACCTATCATGAGATGATCATGACTGTATGGAGCCACAGTAACCTAACATGAGATGATCATGACTGTATGGAGCCACAGTTACCTAACATGAGATGATCATGACTGTATGGAGCCACAGTTACCTAACATGAGATGATCATGACTGTATGGAGCCACATTTACCTAACATGAGATGATCATGACTGTATGGAGCCACAGTTACCTAACATGAGATGATCATTACTGTATGGAGCCACAGTTACCTAACATGAGATGATCATGACTATATGGAGCCACATTTACCTATCATGAGATGATCATGACTGTATGGAGCCACAGTTACCTAACATGAGATGATCATGACTGTATGGAGCCACAGTAACCTAACAAGAGATGATCATGACTGTTTGGAGCCACAGTTACCTAACATGAGATGATCATGACTGTATGGAGCCACATTTACCTAACATGAGATGATCATGACTGTATGGAGCCACAGTTACCTAACATGAGATTATCAGGATAATCATTTTGTTAGTATTGCGTTAAATTGCATTGTGATCATTGGTTGATGGTTTCTATCCCCCAGAGTCCAGCAACAGTGTTGTCTTTGAAGTGACGGCCATTTCCCTACAGCAGCTGACCATTGTATTTGAGCATCCAGCCTATGACTCCATGATCAGAGGTTCAAGTTCTTCTCATTTTTATGGTCTCTGTGTGAATGCTCAGCCTAACACAGTCAGCTGATAAAGCCTGAACGCATCAGTATTTCAGCCATAGGAATAATTCTAAGATGTACAAAAAATACCTGAGGGTCAGTCTTGTGGTTTCAGTAGTAAAATAAAGACCACATTTGATATCACAGTATTTGGTTTAAGAATGGAGATGTAGGCAGTCACTGTAGCTGTATGCTGGCTTGAGAACCAGCTGCATACTCATGCCTTGATTGTCACTGACCTGCAGAGTATGCTGGCTTGAGAACTAGCTGCACACTCATGCCTTGATTGTCACTGACCTGCAGAGTATGCTGGCTTGAGAACTAGCTGCACACTCATGCCTTGATTGTCACTGACCTGCAGAGTATGCTGGCTTGAGAACTAGCTGCACACTCATGCCTTGATTGTCACTGACCTGCAGAGTATGCTGGCTTGAGAACTAGCTGCACACTCATGCCTTGATTGTCACTGACCTGCAGAGTATGCTGGCTTGAGAACTAGCTGCATACTCATGCCTTGATTGTCACTGACTTGCAGAGTATGCTGGCTTGAGAGCTAGCTGCACACTCATGTCTTGATTGTCACTGACTTGCAGAGTATGCTGGCTTGAGAACTAGCTGCATACTCATGCCTTGATTGTCACTGACCTGCAGAGTATGCTGGCTTGAGAACCAGCTGCACACTCATGCCTTGATTGTCACTGACCTGCAGAGTATGCTGACTTGAGAACTAGCTGCACACTCATGCCTTGATTGTCACTGACCTGCAGAGTATGCTGACTTGAGAACCAGCTGCACACTCATGCCTTGATTGTCACTGACCTGCAGAGTCTGCTGACTTGAGAACCAGCTGCACACTCATGCCTTGATTGTCACTGACCTGCAGAGTCTGCTGGCTTGAGAACTAGCTGCACACTCATGCCTTGATTGTCACTGACCTGCAGAGTCTGCTGACTTGAGAACTAGCTGCACACTCATGCCTTGATTGTCACTGACCTGCAGAGTCTGCTGACTTGAGAACTAGCTGCACACTCATGCCTTGATTGTCACTGACTTTCAGAGTCTGCTGGCTTGAGAACTAGCTGCACACTCATGCCTTGATTGTCACTGACTTTCAGAGTCTGCTGACTTGAGAACCAGCTGCACACTCATGCCTTGATTGTCACTGACCTGCAGAGTCTGCTGACTTGAGAACCAGCTGCACACTCATGCCTTGATTGTCACTGACCTGCAGAGTCTGCTGGCTTGAGAACTAGCTGCACACTCATGCCTTGATTGTCACTGACCTGCAGAGTATGCTGACTTGAGAACTAGCTGCACACCCATGCCTTGATTGTCACTGACCTGCAGAGTATGCTGACTTGAGAACCAGCTGCACACTCATGCCTTGATTGTCACTGACTTGCAGAGTATGCTGACTTGAGAACTAGCTGCACACCCATGCCTTGATTGTCACTGACCTGCAGAGTATGCTGACTTGAGAACTAGCTGCACACTCATGCCTTGATTGTCACTGACCTGCAGAGTATGCTGACTTGAGAACTAGCTGCACACTCATGCCTTGATTGTCACTGACCTGCAGAGTCTGCTGGCTTGAGAACCAGCTGCACACTCATGCCTTGATTGTCACTGACCTGCAGAGTATGCTGACTTGAGAACCAGCTGCACACTCATGCCTTGATTGTCACTGACCTGCAGAGTATGCTGACTTGAGAACTAGCTGCACACTCATGCCTTGATTGTCACTGACCTGCAGAGTCTGCTGGCTTGAGAACTAGCTGCACACTCATGCCTTGATTGTCACTGACCTGCAGAGTCTGCTGGCTTGAGAACCAGCTGCACACTCATGCCTTGATTGTCACTGACCTGCAGAGTCTGCTGACTTGAGAACCAGCTGCACACTCATGCCTTGATTGTCACTGACCTGCAGAGTCTGCTGGCTTGAGAACTAGCTGCACACTCATGCCTTGATTGTCACTGACCTGCAGAGTATGCTGACTTGAGAACTAGCTGCACACTCATGCCTTGATTGTCACTGACCTGCAGAGTCTGCTGGCTTGAGAACTAGCTGCACACTCATGCTTTGATTGTCACTGACCTGCAGAGTCTGCTGGCTTGAGAACTAGCTGCACACTCATGCCTTGATTGTCACTGACCTGCAGAGTCTGCTGGCTTGAGAACTAGCTGCACACTCATGCTTTGATTGTCACTGACTTGCAGAGTCTGCTGACTTGAGAACTAGCTGCACACTCATGCTTTGATTGTCACTGACTTGCAGAGTCTGCTGACTTGAGAACTAGCTGCACACTCATGCCTTGATTGTCACTGACCTGCAGAGTCTGCTGGCTTGAGAACTAGCTGCACACTCATGCCTTGATTGTCACTGACCTGCAGAGTCTGCTGAAACAGGTTTTCTCCAGTTGTATTGGGAATTGAACAGGCAGGTTGGCTGATTCTGTAACGTTAGGTGATAAATTAGTGCATCATCATCAAGTGCCTTGACAGCTGGCACAGGCATTCATACGTCTTAAGCCATCCACCATCATTTCTCTTGGTCTGCCTATACCTTTTCTACTAATAATCTTTCCAGTCATGACAATATTTTCAGTGCTGCATTTCTCATCATGTGACCAAAGAAATTTGTTTGTCTCCTTCTTACTGTTGTCTATAATTTGTACATGAGAAGCTGAATATTGTCTTGGTAGATGATAGGTCAAACAAACAGTCTGCGGTTAGTTAGCAGTGTTGGAATCAGAACTGTGTTATCAGCTAAAGATGAAAACGGAGCACTTGTAGGAATGCTCTGAGGGCTTTGATGTTGGTACTTGGCTCAGCTATGTGGGTGACATGACTGTGATCAGTGTTCCTGTCATGTGTTTTTGACACATGCGATCCAGTGAATAGCACACTTACCAAGTATCTAGGGGATTGTTTATAAATGTTAGTCCTCCACACATACACACAGGCTCGGCTCCCTCAGCTGGCAAACCAAGGCTGCCCACTCTCATCGCCACGGCACATACTGATGGCAATTATTACTGCAGAAGGGCCAACAGGGAGCACCCCAGTAAGCCAGTCACAAGTAACGAGTTTAGAACCACAGTATATCTGGCACAGGTTAAGAACCACAGTATATCTGGCACAGGTTAAGAACCACAGTATATCTGGCACAGGTTTAGAACCGCAGTATATCTGGCACAGGTTAAGAACCACAGTATATCTGGCACAGGTTAAGAACCGCAGTATATCTGGCACAGGTTAAGAACCGCAGTATATCTGGCACAGGTTAAGAACCACAGTATATCTGGCACAGGTTACATGTCCTATGTTAACCACTAACATTGGCTAAGAATGCAATAATAACCACTTTAAATATGATCTTATAGTGCGATCTGTCTCGTTAGTGTGGACCAACACGTTGTGATGACTCACTGTCAGTCCACTACTTCCTGCCAAATACACTCACATCGGCAGTCTCCAGCACATGGACAAAACACCCTGTATAACTATGTGCAGGTGACTGCTACAGGCCACTCACACCTGATCACACAGATACACCATGTGATGTGCAGTGGCAGTCCTCTTCTTCTTCTCCTCTTCCACCTGTGACAGTCCTCTGACCGTTCTATTCTAAGAGACCCCACCACATTAGAGGCAAAGGTGTACCACTTGCTGAAGAAATCCAGACCTCTTGTCTGCTACCCAGTCACTCATTGAAGTATCACTGATCAATCTACAGTTAACCACGGCAATCTAACTAAGGGACTTTTTCCCTCCACCGACCAGCATGCCACATAGCTGCAACTTTGCCGACCACAACAAACATAGTCTAGCACAACCATCTATTCTAGAAAATCACACTGACAGCATTCTAACATCCAACTTATGATCCACCACACCCATAGGATGGTCCACTGAGCTCCAACAGAATCAAACATATTCTTCAAACTGTCAGACAAGTCCATATGTCCATTGGACTTGAACAGTTTGCACACACACCGACTGACAAAGTGACTGACCCAAGGGATCATGCCACATGCTCTCGGCCCACACGGGTTTCACAGTATCTTTGATAGGCTGTGGTGACATGTCCGCAAGCTCGTCCTGAACTTCAAGCGACACATGATTTCACAACTTCAAGTGGCTGAGGCTGTAGTTTTACCCTGTCAAATATATCATGACTTATAATGTACACCATGATTCACCAGTCTCTGGCTTCATTCACACTTTCGTCACAAAATGGCTTGGGCACATACAAGTTTTGTTGCTTTACTTGGACATGTCTGCATCCTCCTGTGCACATATTTTTGTTCATCAGTGAATATTTGTGTGTCTGTTAACAGTTGACATTGATCTGGCGGACATTACCAACTTGAAGTGCAAGGTGGCATGTACCAACTCTGACCAGGTACTCTGTTCGGATGAAGCTATTTCCAGGGTTTTTCACAGGTAGGGCTTTTGGAAAAGTTGCTTGGTGGTCACTTGCAGGGTGGTTTTAGTATAGCACTTTACTTGACAACCATTTCCTGCATGATTTGTGAGTAGAACTTTAGATAATTAATTTGTGGGCTGCAGATTTGATAAACCTGTGGAACATATTAAACTCATCATTTTCTTAACATTTGTAGTTATAAACTCTTGCAGAAAGTTCTGGTTATTTGTCCACTTCTGGACTTTCGTCTTGAGTTGCATGCACTTCCATTTTACAGATCTGGCTTATTTGTAAGCAGAATATTGGTTTCTTGCCTCTCAAGCAAGAAGCATCTACTTCAAATGAAACACCCCTGATTGGTCATCCTTTAGGACATGCTTGTATGGAAAAAGGGGGGGGGGGGTCTATTTCTGTTCCCCCACATTGGGGCCCTGGAACCCAGGCTGTTGTGTACCAGAATTTTTCAAAGGTTGACAGTTGTGTACAGTTTACTTTCATCCGTTGTAGGTTGTGCACAGTTTACTTTCATCCATTGTAGGTTGTGTACAGTTTACTTTCATCCGTTGTAGGTTGTGCACAGTTTACTTTCATCCGTTGTAGGTTGTGTACAGTTTACTTTCATCCATTGTAGGTTGTGCACAGTTTACTTTCATCTGTTGTTTTAATCCGTGTAAGTTAACGTCATCTGTGTAAAGTTTATATTTATCTATTATGTTTTAATCTGTGTAAGTTTGCGTTTATCTGTGTACAGTTTACCTTCATCCGTTGTAGGTTGTGTACAGTTTACTTTCATCCGTTGTAGGTTGTGTACAATTTACTTTCATCCGTTGTAGGTTGTGTACAATTTACTTTCATCCATTATAGGTTGTGTTCAGTTTACTTTCATCCATTGTAGGTTGTGTACAGTTTATTTTAATCCGTTGTAGGTTGTGTACAGTTTACTTTCATCCGTTGTAGGTTGTGTACAATTTACTTTCATCCGTTGTAGGTTGTGTACAGTTTACTTTCATCCGTTATAGGTTGTGTACAGTTTACTTTCATTTGTTGTAGGTTGTGTACAGTTTACTTTCATCCGTTGTAGGTTGTGTACAGTTTACTTTCATCCGTTGTAGGTTGTGCACAGTTTACTTTCATCTGTTATGTTTTAATCCGTGTAAGTTAACATCATCTGTGTAAAGTTTACATTTATCTATTATGTTTTAATCTGTGTAAGTTTGCGTTCATCTGTGTACGGTTTACTTTCATCCGTTGTAGGTTGTGTACAATTTACTTTCATCCATTATAGGTTGTGTACAGTTTACTTTCATCCATTGTAGGTTGTGTACAGTTTACTTTCATCCGTTGTAGGTTGTGTACAGTTTACTTTCATCCGTTGTAGGTTGTGTACAATTTACTTTCATCCGTTGTAGGTTGTGTACAATTTACTTTCGTCCGTTATAGGTTGCGTACAGTTTACTTTCATCCGTTGTAGGTTGTGTACAGTTTACTTTCATCCGTTGTAGGTTGTGTACAGTTTACTTTCATCTGTTGTAGGTTGTGTACAATTTACTTTCATCCGTTGTAGGTTGTTTACAGTTTACTTTAATCTGTTATGTTTTAATCCGTGTAAGTTTATTTTCATCTGTGTACAGTTTACTTTCATCTGTTACGTTTTAATCTGTGTAAGTTTATGTTCATCTGTGTACAGTTTACTTTCATCCGTTGTAGGTTGTGTACAGTTTACTTTCATCTGTTATGTTTTAATCCGTGTAATTTCATGTTCATCTGTGTACAGTTTACTTTCATCTGTTATGTTTTAATCCTTGTAAGTTTATGTTCATCTGTGTAAAGTTTACATTCATCCGCTGTAAGTTGTGTACAGTTTACTTTCATCTGTTATGTTTTAATCCATGTAATTTTACGTTCATCTGTTTTAGTCTCTGTAAAGTTTAAACATCATCTGTTGTAAGTTGTGTACAGTTTACTTTCATCTGTTATGTTTTAATCTGTGTAAAATTTAGATTCATCTGTTGTAATCCATTCAAGTTTACGTTCATCTGTTGTAAGCTGTGTACAGTTTACGCTCATTTGTTGTTCTGTTGTAATCTGCATAAGTTTACTTTCGTCTGTTGTCATCTGTGTACAATTTGCATTAATTTGTTGTAAACAGTGTACAGTTTATCTTAATCTCTTCTGTTGTAATCTGCTTACAGTTTACAGATATCTGTTATGAGCTGTATAAGTTTACATTCATTGAATGTTTTGTTGTTAGCCATGTAAATTTTACGCTAATTTATTATTCTGTTGTAAGCTGTGTACAGTTTATGCTCATTTAATGTTCTGCCATAAGTTGTGTTTTGGTCCGGTCGTGGTCAGATATGACTGAGCTACCTTATGACAGTAGCCGGTACCACCTGTCTTCTGTTAAGCCAAATGTTGGGCATCGTATACTAACCCAACATCCCGTATTGTGTCTGTAATGGGGGATATTTTCACCCTGGTTGGGGAAGGTAGGGGGGAAAGCCCCAAGGTAACAATAAGGACAATAACAATAATAATAAGAAATCAGGGTGTATGGAAAAAGGGGGGGGGGGGATTTGCAGTAAAGAATTCACTGTTAGCATCAGTTGAGAGTCCAACTGGAGGAAGTGACAGAATATTATCTCTACAATTGTCTACCTCAAGTGGTTTTTTTACCCTTTTTACTGCATATGTACCCACTCTAATGTTAACGGAGAATAAAAAATGGAGTGAAATATAATTTTCACTTTTTTTGACACATGCTTTTCGCGATCAGGAGGGTGGTATATTCATTCACTCTTAATCTGACGGCAGCCTTTACAATGCTCGCATGCTGAAGGCCAAAACCAGGATAATAAAGGAACTTATCAGAGATGATGACGCAATAACCACCCACTCAGAGGAGGAGCTGCAATGTTTACTGTCTGCCTTTGCTGATGCGTGCTGTAAATTTGGACTTACAGTTAGCCAAAAAAAAACAAGACAAAAGGTTATGGTGCAAGGTGTTAATGGCAAAGAGAGTTTGGGAGAACAGAAAGCTCACAATTAAAACAAAAAAAACTTGTCTATCAGGTTTGTATTCTCAGCATTCTGCTTTAGGGCAGTGAAACTTGGTTGACCTATTTGCACCAGGAGAGATAGCTTTCACATGCGATGCCTAGGAAGAATACGTGGCAGGACAAACACTGAGGTACTGGAAAGAGCAGGTACTACAACAGTCTTTTCTATGTTCAGTCTACGAAGGCTCAGGTGGCTGGGTCACACATGGAAAATGGCAGAGTCCCTAAGGACATCCTTTATGGTGAATTAAAGACAGGAAGAAGATGTCGAGGCCGACCTTTACTACGATATAAATGTGTGCATGTGGGACATGAATGAGACACTAAGGGGAACAAAATGCCATGGACCGTGTTGTGCGGAAAGGGCATACCAGGAAGGGAATGAAAGTGAAGGCAGAAAGGATTGCAGAAAGGATGAGAGCTGAGCGTCTGAAAAGAAACGGATTAAACACAAATGTTGACAACAATGGTCCTGAAATCCCATGCTATCATTGTGGAAGACTTTTCTTGACACCGGCAGATCTTGCTAGTCACACTCGTCTTCGCCATGGCCTGTGAGTCTCATGCCTCCTCATAGCGCAATATAACACTATCATCTGGAAAGACGAAAAGGTGCCAATCGTAGGTTGTGTACATTATTACAGTAAAGCACTCACAGAATTACAACACACTCACATTTTTACAGTACAACACCCACAGAGTTACAACACACTCACATTTTTACAGTACAACACCCACAGAATTACAACACACTCACATTTTTACAGTACAACACCCACAGAATTACAACACACTCACATTTTTACAGTACAACACCCACAGAGTTACAACACACTCACATTTTTACAGTACAACACCCACAGAATTACAACACACTCACATTTTTACAGTACAACACCCACAGAATTACAACACACTCACATTTTCACAGTACAACACCCACAGAATTACAACACACTCACATTTTCACAGTACAACACCCACTGAATTACAACACGCTCACATTTTTACAGTACAGCACCCACAGAATTACAACACACTCACATTTTTACAGTACAACACCCACAGAATTACAACACACTCACATTTTTACATTACAACACCCACAGAATTACAACACACTCACATTTTCACAGTACAACACCCACAGAATTACAACACACTCACATTTTTACAGTACAACACCCACCGAATTACAACACACTCACATTTTCACAGTACAACACCCACAGAATTACAACACACATTTTCACAGTACAGCACCCACTGAATTACAACACACTCACATTCTTACAGTACAACACCCACAGAATTACAACACACATTTTCACAGTACAACACCCACTGAATTACAACACACTCACATTTTTACAGTACAACACCCACAGAATTACAACACACATTTTCACAGTACAGCACCCACAGAGTTACAACACACTCACATTTTTACAGTAAAAACACCCACAGAATTACAACACACTCACATTTTTACAGTACAGCACCCACAGAATTACAACACACTCACATTTTTACAGTACAGCGCCCACCAAATTACAACACACTCACATTTTTATGTTACAGCACCCACAGAATTACAACACACTCACATTTTTACAGTACAGCACCCACAGAATTACAACACACTCACATTTTTACAGTACAACACACTCACATTTTTACAGTACATCACACTCAGAGTTACAACACACTCACATTTTTACAGTACAGCACCCATAGAATTACAACACAGTCACATTTTTACAGTACAGCACCCACAGAATTACAACACACTCACATTTTTACAGTACAGCACCCATAGAATTACAACACACTCACACTTTTACTTGTTGTGACAAAGTGTTTGCCATGTTTCAGGTGCATGTCTATACCTATAATGCTGCGATGGCTGATTGGGAAAGGTCTTGGACAGTTGGATAAGTTGAAGGAAGCGGCACTGGCTGCAGAAAGAGAACAAAAGGAGAAAGAACAATTTCTGAAGGAACTGAAGCAACAGCAGGCCAAGTTTCAGCCAACAACAGTACAGACAAACAGACCACCACCTCAGCCTCCTCATCCGCCTCCGTTACCACCGCCACCAAGTTATCCCCAGTTTCATTCCCCTGTGCATATCCCTCATAATGTGATGAACAGCATTGGCCAGTTGCCAGCATTGACTGAAGCCGGGGCAGTCCTGGCAGACTTCAGCCACATGACCGACGGCAATAGCAAACATCTGAATGATCGGTTGCCATTGGTGGCAGACAGTGAGCAGGTCCGCCATTCGGTTGTCATCCCTCTGCTGCTTGAGGAGGAACTAGCAAGTGCCAGTAAGCCCAAGGAGGTACATGATGCTCCCATGTTGTCTCGGCTGCTGGATGACAACACATCGGTAGCCACAACTGTGATTCCTATGGATTGTAAACCTGCCCTTATGACTTCAGTGAAACGTTCGCGGAAACGCAAACCACAGTCCGATTCTAGTGGGCCTAGTCCCAAGCACTATCTGGCCGATGGCGACTTCAGTGAACGTTTTGGTCCACTGGGTGCTTCCTTGGATTTAGATATGATGCCAGGAGTTATTGACCATCATTTTCATAACAGTCCTCCGGTCATCAGGTCAATGACACCCACCTATGGATCCTCAAGTCATCACGCTCATCACCCAGTGCTCAACCGTGCTCCTGCACGCTCACAAAACAATGTTATCGATCTGACAGAAGACACCTCTGTCGGCGAGTCCAGCCTCAAACGGCTGTCTGATTTATCAATGTTGTTCAACGAAACAGAGGCTCAAAGTAGAATTCCAAATCTACTACAAAATTCTCCATCAAATTCAAAAAACGAGAACGCCTCTACCTCTCTTGAGGGTTACCTCACAGGGTCGGGAGAGGTAGGAAGGGCGCAGGATTTCGACCCCAGTGATGCTTCTTCTGTCCACAGTAGCAGCACTGTCTCCAGGCTGACCTGTATGTTGTCGGAGAACACCTCTCCCTGTCTCAGTACATCGCCTCCCAAAGCAAACTCGGCTTTGCTGACAGGTAAGGCTGCAAGTGGTGATCTCTGCTCTGTTGGCCTCAGGAAATCTCCTTCCAACACCATTGGCCAGGACGTCAGACCACCACAGGCTGGAGGTGGGGTGTGCCAGGGTTCCGACTTGAACATCATCAATGACAGGAAGAGCATGACAGGCCTGTTTGACCAGATCAATGACAGGAAGAGCATGACAGGCCTGTTTGACCGGTTTGACATTTCTAAACAGCAGAAAGCCGAGAAAGCTGAAGCAGTCAGCGGTGAAGTGCGGTCACAGCTGGTCGAAGGTAAAGTCTGCCTCAGACTCAAAGTTGGCCCTTTAAAACAGCAGAATAGCATCAAACCATTAGTGAAGTCATACAGGTCGCTGGATGAGGCTGTCATGTGTGGCCAGAAAAACAATCTAGCAACATTTGATTTCAAGAGTGATGAGGATGATGAGGCGCCGCTTGTGCATTTCTCTTCAGATCGCTACGTGTATTCCTCCTCGCCAACATGTCTGCAGATTTCCAGCAAACAGAAACCATTCGCTGACCATGCTTCCATCCATCATAAATCTGACAGGGTCAAGAGGAAAGACAAAAATTCAGGAAATACCACAAAAAGGAAACGAGAGAAGGATAAGTCAAAACGGGAAAAGAAGAAGAAGAAAAGCGAGCATTTTATTCAAGAATCTGTGTATCGGACAGTTGAAAATGATGCAAAGGGAGATTTTAAAATGAAGATAAGAGTGAAGCCTGTCACCGACAAGTCGGATTTGTTTTCTGATGGCAAGGTTGCTAGTTATGAAATCAGCAAGAAGCCATTGGTCAGCTCCGTGGTGAAACCACCAGCCAGTCATGAGCACGTTAGAGGTGTGCATATTGTTAATGAAATAGCCAAAGAGAAAGAGAGCACTGGGGAGAGCGACAGCCACAAAGCTGTGTCAGGCAAGTCTGCTGTACTGCTGCATAAGCCTTTCCCTAAGATGGGCAGCTGCAGAGTGTCTCCGTCTGCTGGTGCTGGCATTAAAACTGACCCAAAGCTGGTGACCAAGGCCACAATCAGACTGAAGCCTTTAACTATGCCTAACTGCAGTTCTAGCGTCAACATCTCCAAGTCTTCGTTGGCTCATAAAGCTGAGCGTTGCAACTCTGCCTGTGTAATACCACCTGTTTTAGAGAAACCAATAGCTGTTCATAATTCTCTGGAGCGAAGAGGCTCAACATCAAACTTGATAGATCGTCGCAGCCTCACACAGTCATCATCATCTACACCTTTGTCAGCATCGACAACCTCTACATCAACTACACCGACGCCCTCTACAACAACAACAACAGCCAATCTCTCCTTGTCCAGCATTCTCCCAAATGCTCCCACTGTTAGCAAAATTGCCAGCTTACCTCGAATCCCAAAGCTGTCTTCCTCTTCATCAAATGCTTCCATTAGTCGCACTTCCAGCCTAGACACTGTGTCAGAACTGACTCCCACTTCCGCTGGCACCAAAGCTAACAACAGCTACACACTGGGGCCAGCAGGTAAACTATCCGCTGGCAGCGCTGCTACACTTAACTATGGCAGTCGCCCCATGGCATCGGGCAACGGCAGTTCAGCTACCGGTTGGTCCACATTTAATACAAATAGACCTGGTTTGGGACATCGTCAGACCAGTCCACTGGTCATCTCTAACCAAGCTGGGTTACAAAGGACAGCACTGGGACACAAGGCAGGGTTTCGTTCGGCAGGTAATCACAAACATTTGAGCAGTTTCACAAACAACAGGTCCATCAAAGAGTTAGCAGGCAGCTCCAGTAGCACACAAAAGACCTTCTCTAATGTGTTTAAACCCAGTAGTCGTATTAGCTCTCCGCTGCTGGCAGGGCATTTCATGGGCCACAAGCCGAATGCAGCAAGTGTACATCCACAAAAACATGCCAGCCCAAACACACATGTGGCTGCCAGTTCTCGCACTGGATCTGGTACTCTCGACAGATCTCCAAATACTTCTGGGGTCACTAGGTCACCTAACTCTGGCAGGTCGCCAAGCATCAACAGCTCTGGCAGGTCGCCAAGCATCAACAACTCTGGCAGGTCCCCAAGCATTAACAACTCTGGCAGGTCGCCAAACATCAACAACTCTGGCAGATCGCCAAACATCAACAACTCTGGCAGGTCCCCAAGCATCAACAACTCTGGCAGGTCGCCAAACATCAACAACTCTGGCAGGTCGCCAAACATCAACAACTCTGGCAGGTCGCCAAACATCAACAACTCTGGCAGGTCCCCAAGCATCAACAACTCTGGCAGGTCGCCAAACATCAACAACTCTGGCAGGTCGCCAAACATCAGCAATAGTTCTCTGAAGTGCACAGCCAGTCCCTCAACAGGCAGACCCACTCTCTCACACAGACAGATCCCTGGTGTGTCCACATTTTCAAGTGTACATAAATCTATCTTGAAAACACATGACTCATCTACATCACACAGAACTGGCAGCCTGAAGTCATCTCCCTCAGAAACAGGAACTAACAGCAACAGCCCCCACACAGCGGACAGTGCTCCAATAGTTGCTGCTGCTTACCCTCTCACTAACTTCCCTGGTGAGGGCTGTTCCATGAGTTCCTTGCCCAGCAATGGGGCACCGTCACCCTCAGTTCACAAACTTTCAGCTGCACAACCACATACGATATCAGTGTTTTCTTTTGCATCATCAGTAAGCACATCATCGCCGCCAACATCACCATCATTGCTGAACTCCAGCACAGTTGCTGATTCAGTGTGGGGCAGGCACAGTCAGGCATCTGTGGATACAAGTCAGTTATTACCATCTGACAAGCTCTCATCATCGCCAGGTGTAGTCATACCTCATGGTGCAGATAGCACCAGGAACAGGTTTCACTCATGTTCCACTCGAGGCCGCAAGAGTTCCCTGTCTGCTATTGTAGATAAGTTAAAACATAGTGCCGTTGGCTCCTCTGTAGCCTCTGTCAGGCCTGTGCGTCCATGTTCTGAGAGTCTGTACAGTCAGGTCAGTCAACCATTGTGGCCTGGGCAGGATGGTGTTCATTCAACTATCACACACATGGAGAGAACACTTTCTAGTCAGCCTGTAGTGAATGTTCAGTCTGGAGTAGAGATCAGACCAATCAGCCATATCTCTGAGGGCAACCAGAAGGCTGTTGTGTGTGCAGAGCAGGAGAAAGATGCAGCTGCTGGTACTTGCCTCACAGCCCCAGATGCTGTCAGGGACAGTGATACACTGTCTAGTGAAATCTGCGACAGGGGTCAGAATGTTGAAAATAAAACTGGACATGTGCCCATGGGGATGGAAGCCAAGCACCAGCTGGGTCTGGTCATGGCAGATGGCTCAACAAAAGGAGAGTCTCCTGGCACCAGGCTGGATGGCAGTGTGCTGAAGAACTTGTCAGGGCCACCACAGACCTCAGCTTCCTCTCACCAGAATTCTCTGACTGCCTCTGCTCACCTGCGTCCAGCTTCACCATTCCATCCTCTAGAACCCTCTGGTGCTGCCAGCAGAAACTTCTCACCCCTGACTGTGCCCACTGGCCGGGACAGCAGTCAGGGCTTGTCGCTGGTCTCATCAAAACATCCAGAAACTGTGCCCAGTGGCCGGGACAGCAGTCAGGGCTTGTCGCTGGTCTCACCAAAACATCCAGAAGAATGTCTTTATGAAGATAGCCAGACAGACAAAATATTGATGGAACCTCGAGGTAATGGCCGGCTAGGTGATCATGACACAGAGCAGCACAATGACACAGCTTGTATAGGTGTAGAAATGAACTCCTCCAAACCACTCTCTAGTCCATTAAGTGACATCAGTAGTGCGGGCAGTGACCTGGTGATAGATGATGAAGCAGCCACACACACAGTTCCTCAACACCCCTGCCAGTTTTCAGGCAGCAATAGTCTTCACAAACCCCAGTCACTCATCTCTAGCAGCAGCCAAAGCCTGGCAAACAACCTGGACCATGCAACATCCTGCCCTGGGACCACCAGTCCGCCACCACCATCTGCCAAATGTGCTTCACTTGCCAAGTACCCACAGTGTGCCTCATCCAGAGAATCTGACTCACCCTGTCCCATAGATGATGACCTTATGGACATGGCCCTGGGCTTGGGTAGTTGATGAATGTTCACCTGATTGCCATGCCTCTCTGTTGCATCCATGTTCACCTGGTGTGGGCACGGCGCACTATGCAACCCCTTATGTCTTCTCCTGTTTTTGTAAACAGTTTGAACATTGCAGATGCTCTTCTTTAGCTATTTAATGTTCCTAGTGGTTGTGTTTGCCCTAAAAACTTTTTCAGAACTGATGCCTGGTTATCCTGGCTTTAGTTAATTCAGCTGTCATAATTTCTTTATTGTTCCCTAGCACTGCTAAAATCTGTCAGGTATGGATGCTAGGATCTGTCACATATTTGTGCTAGGATCTGTCACATATTTGTGCTAGAATCTGTCAGCTTATTTTCTTACATGAGTGCTAGGATTTGTTAATTTGTCTTCCAAAATCAGCGCTTGGATATGTCAAGTTATCTTCCCACATCAGCGCTTGTATCTGTCAAGTTATCTTCCCACATCAGCGCTTGGATCTGTCAAGTTATCTTCCCACATCAGCGCTTGGATCTGTCAAGTTATCTTCCCACATCAGTGCTTGGATCTGTCAAGTTATCTTCCCACATCAGTGCTTGGATCTGTCATCTTCCCACATCAGCGCTTGGATCTGTCAAGTTATCTTCCCACATCAGCACTTGGAACTGTTAAGTTATCTTCCCACATCAGTGCTTGGATCTGTCATCTTCCCACATCAGTGTTTGGATCTGTCAAGTTATCTCTCCACATCAGCGCTTGGATCTGTCAAGTTATTTTCCCACATCAGCGCTTGGATCTGTCAAGTTGTCTTCCCACATCAGCACTTGGATCTGTCAAATTATCTTCCCACATCAGCGGTTGGATCTGTCAAGTTATCTTCTCACATTATTGGTAGGATCTGTAGCATTGTCTTCTCACATCATTGGTAGGATCTGTAGGATTGTCTCCTCACATCATTGGTAGGATCTATAGGATTGTCTTCTCACATCATTGGTAGGATCTGTAGGATTGTCTTCTCACATCATTGGTAGGATCTGTAGAATTGTCTTCTCACATCAGTTCTAGAAACTGTCAGGTTTTCTTTCCCTATAAATACTAGAATCTAAGTTTATCTTTCCACATCAGTGCTAGGATCTGTTCGATTGTCTTCCCACACCAGAATTTGGATCTGTAGGATTGTCTTGCCACATCATTGATAGGATCAGTAGGATTGTCTTCTCACATTGGTGCTTGGATCTGTCAGTTTATCTTCCAAGATCAGTGCTATGGTGTTTAGGGTTGTCTTCCTACATCAGTATTTGGAACAATACGATTGTCTTCCCACAACATTGGTAGGATCTGTAGGATTGCCTCCCCACATCGGTGCTAGGATCTGTAGGACTGTCTTCCCACACAAGTGCTAGGATCTATAAGGTTATCCTCCAACATCAGTGCTAAGATCTATCAGATTATATTCCCACGTCAGCACTAAAGGATCTATGGTATCATGTGTGTATGTCAAGTCCAAGCTCAGGAAAACTGTCCATTTCTGTCTTCGACACATTTTCTTCATATAAGAATGCTAGGATCTGCTGGTTCTCAATACCAGTATTCATATTTTTCAGATCGAGTCTCACACATAAGTGCTGGTCTCTCTCACATCAGTGCTGGTCTCTCACATATCAGTGCTAGAGTCTCACACATCAGTGCTGGTCTCTCTCATATGAGTGTTACAATCTCACATGTCAGTGCTAGAGTCTCTCACATCAGTGCTAGAGTCTCTCACATCAGTGCTGGTCTCTCCCTTAAATGAGTGTTACAATCTCACATGTCAGCACTAGAGTCTCACACATCAGTGCTAGTCTCTCTCATATGAGTGTTACAATCTCACATGTCAGTGCTAGAGTCTCACACATCAGTGCTAGTCTCTCTCATATGAGTATTACAATCTCACATGTCAGCACTAGAGTCTCACACATCAGTGCTAGTCTCTCTCATATGAGTGTTACAATCTCACATGTCAGTGCTAGAGTCTCACACATCAGTGCTGGTCTCTCTGAGTGTTACAATCTCACATGTCAGTGCTAGAGTCTCTCACATCAGTGCTAGTCTCTCTCATATGAGTGCTACAATCTCACATGTCAGCACTAGAGTCTCACACATCAGTGCTAGTCTCTCTCATATGAGTGTTACAATCTCACATGTCAGTGCTAGAGTCTCACACATCAGTGCTAGTCTCTCTCATATGAGTATTACAATCTCACATGTCAGCTCTAGAGTCTCACACATCAGTGCTAGTCTCTCTCATATGAGTGTTACAATCTCACATGTCAGTGCTAGAGTCTCACACATCAGTGCTGGTCTCTCTGAGTGTTACAATCTCACATGTCAGTGCTAGAGTCTCTCACATCAGTGCTAGTCTCTCTCATATGAGTGCTACAATCTCATATGTCAGTGCTAGAGTCTCACACATCAGTGCTGGTCTCTCTGAGTGCTACAATCTCACATGTCAGTGCTAGAGTCTCACATATCAGTGCTGGTCTCTCACATATCAGTGCTGGTCTCTCTCATATGAGTGCTACAATCTCACATGTCAGTGCTAGAGTCTCACACATCAGTGCTGGTCTCTCTCATATGAGTGTTACAATCTCACATGTCAGCACTAGAGTCTCACACATCAGTGCTGGTCTCTCTCATATGAGTGTTACAATCTCACATGTCAGCACTAGAGTCTCACACATCAGTGCTGGTCTCTCTCATATGAGTGCTACAATCTCACATGTCAGTGCTAGAGTCTCACACATCAGTGCTGGTCTCTCTCATATGAGTGCTACAATCTCACATGTCAGCACTAGAGTCTCACACATCAGTGCTGGTCTCTCTCATATTAGTGTTACAATCTCACATGTCAGTGCTAGAGTCTCACACATCAGTGCTGGTCTCTCTGAGTGCTACAATCTCACATGTCAGCACTAGAGTCTCACACATCAGTGCTGGTCTCTCTGAGTGCTACAATCTCACATGTCAGCGCTAGTCTCACACATCAGTGCTGGTCTCTCTCACGTGAGTGTTACAATCTTACATGTCAGCGCTAGAGTATCACATATCAATCAGTAGCATGTCCTTTGCAGAACCTTGCTCCTATAACAACCCTCCAGAAAACTTCTCGATCACAAGTACGATATCCCATGTCTGATAGACCCGTCCGGAGATCATCTGCCACATCTTGCATCCGTCTTCTCTTTGGCCTTCCTCTTCCTCTCTTCCAAGGCATATACAATTCCGTTGATTTTCTTTCTAAACTTTTCGTGACATTTTAAGGGACCAGAATATTTCAATTTTATCGTCTTTAACAGCCAACCTTCTTCAGTATTTAGTTCTTGAAGTATGTATGCATTTGTTATTTTCTTTGCCCATGATTTTTTTAGACCCGTCAGTAACATTTGTATTCCAAGGCATTTGTGTGTTGTTCAGCTTGTTTAGTAAGTGTCCAGGTTTCACAGCTCACGGGCATATGTTGCAATGAGAAAGATGCATGCTCTTAGAAATTTAATTTTCTGTAGTTCTGTCTCTCCCATTCCAAAAATTAAACAGTTGGTAGGATATATACATCATTGCTAGAATATCACACAGGAGTGTTAGTGTCTAGCACATTAGTGCTAGTCTTTTACATCGGTGTTTGAGTCTGACACATCAGTGCTATAGTCTCTCACATGAATGTTAGAACCTGTCACATCAGTGCTAGAGTCTTGCATAGGTGTTAGGGGTTCTCACATCAGTTCTACAGTCTGACACATCAGTGCTATAGTCTCTCACATGAGTGTTAGAACCTGTCACATCAGTGCTAGAGTCTTGCATAGGTGTTAGAGGTTCTCACATCAGTTCTAGAGTCTGACACATCATTGCAATCTCACATATCAGTGCTAGAGTCTAACTCATCAGTGCTAGAGTCTGACACATCAGCGCTATAGTCTGACACATCAATGTTGGTCTCTCACATGAGTGTTAGAGTCTGACACATCAGTGCTGGAGTCTGGCACATCAATGTTAGTCTCTCACATGAGTGTTAGAGTCTGACACATCAGTGCTGGAGTCTGGCACATCAGTGTTAGTCTCCCACATGAGTGTTAGAGTCTGACACATCAGCGCTAGAGTCTGAAACATCAGTGTTAGTCTCTCACATGAGTGTTAGAGTCTGACACATCAGCGCTAGAGTCTGACACATCAATGTTGGTCTCTCACATGAGTGTTAGAGTCTGACATATCAACGCTAGAGTCTGGCACATCAATGTTAGTCTCCCACATGGGTGTTACAGTCTGACACATCAGTGCTAGAGTATAATACATCAGTGTTAGTCTGCCACATGAGTGTTAGAGTCTGACACATCAGTGCTAGAGTCTGAAACATCAGTGTTAGTCTGCCACATGAGTGTTAGAGTCTCACACATCAGTGCTAGAGTATGAAACATCAGTGTTAGTCTCCCACATGAGTGTTAGAGTCTGACACATCAGCGCTAGAGTCTGGCACATCAATGTTAGTCTCTCACATGAGTGTTAGAGTCTGACACATCAGCGCTAGAGTCTGGCACATCAATGTTAGTCTCTCACATGAGTGTTAGAGTCTGACACATCAGCGCTAGAGTCTGGCACATCAATGTTAGTCTCTCACATGGGTGTTAGAGTCTGACACATCAGTGCTAGAGTCTGAAACATCAATGTTCATCTCTCACATGAGTATTAGCATCTGACACATCAGTCCAAGAGTCTTGCATGAGTGCTAGTCTCACATATCAGTCATAGAGTCTGACACATCAGCGCTAGAGTCTAGCACATCAATGTTAGTCTCCCACATGAGTGCTAGAGTCTGAAGCATCAGTGTTAGTCTCCACATCAGTGCTAGAGTCTGACACATCAGCGCTAGAGTCTCGCATGAGTGCTAGTCTCACGTATCAGTCATAGGGTCTCACACATCAGTGCTAGAGTCTCACACATCAGCGCTAGAGTCTAGCATGAGTGCTAGTCTCACATATCAGTCATAGGGTCTCACACATCAGTGCT